CAAGGACCTCGGCAGCGTTGCTAGCTGGAGCCCCTTGTTTGGGGTGTGTTGTGTTCCGCTACCCAAAACCAGACCTGCTGCGGGTGTGAGAGAGCTTCTTGTTCTCCTTTAAAACCTGAGTTGTTTTCATGAGGAGCCTCCTACAAAGCTGCTGTTTCTCCAATAGCACCGTGGGCAAGAAGCCTTGCAGTGGGTTTGTGCATAGAGCATCTGAGGTGCTGAGAGCAATGCGAGATCCCAGGTGATGGGTTAGTCCCTAAACTTCTTGCCCCTTACCCTGGTCTCAGGCCTTGAAGCAGCTGCGTGGTTCCTGGTCAGCTCTCCAAGCTCATCCCCAAGCTCCTGTCATTTGAACATCACAGAGATAGTCAACATCCAGAGCTCCTGCGTGCTGACGGAAGGGATTCCAGCCCAGCCCTTGGAGGGGATTTTATGGCGAGATAAAGATTGTCCCTTGTTTCGTGTTAAACTTTGGGACCAGCTCTGCGTTAGTGCCTGGGTTTATCAGAGAGGAGCGGGGGGGAAGCCCAGGCCTTGGATACCAGTGGGGTGTTATCAAGGAGAGAGGCTGGCTGTGAGAGCACGAGGCGGGAGAGGGGTTATTTTGTCTACTGAGGGATGGCTCCGTCTGTGTTCTAAAGCTGGACCCTGACTTTCACTGACCCACAGCAGGTTTCCTCAAACCCAGGGAGGAGAGGAACCTGCAGCGCACAGCCAGGGCCCTCAGAGGTGTATGGTGACCATATAAGACTGTAGAAGAGCTCCAGTGTGAGTTAGGGACTTAGGCAGCATGCTCCTGTATGTGACCTCTGGCTGCACTAACTTCCATAGCTTTGATAGACCTCAGCTGAGATTTAACAGCTTTATGTGAAATCAGTTGAAGATTAAGACCGTGCAGTTGCCTGCCTCTAAATCAGTGCTGCCCAAATAGCTGCTGGGTGATGGAGGGTGACCAGGACAGGGCTGAGATGGCAGCAGAGTCCCAGTGCTCTTGTGTTATTCCTTTTCTGGCTACAGCTCTAGCTCCCAGAGCTGCCTCGCAGGATTATACCTTGGAATAAATCCCTGAATAAGGGTGGAAAAGCACTTCCCCTCCCTGTAACTCCAAGGGAGGATGGTAGCCTTGCAGCAGAGTTCTTTGGATGAGACAATCCCAGGTGTAACGTTGGTGCTGGCATGAATTTTAGGGTTTTAAACCAACAAATCTATGTTCAGATGATTCCAAACCTGGTTTCTCCTCAGGCTGCCTGCCTGAGAAGTAAAAAATGAGCTTGGGGTCTGGAAATGTTGCACCGAGTGATTCAAGGTGGAGTGCTGAGGCTGTCATCAGTTCTACAAGTTACTGTCTTGGAAAGATCTGTAGGAGGTTGTTATGCATTTCCTTCCAATACAAAGTGCAGGGGTGATGCTTGAGGTACATGTGGGTTGGGAAGCATACGGGCATCCTGCCCTGTGCGCTTGGGCTTTCTCAGGAGCAGGGAGGAGGACTGGGAGGGCGCAGCAGTGTAACAGTCTTCTAGTGCCTAAAGGGGCTGCAGGAAACCTGGAGAGGGGCTTGGGACAAGGGATGTAGGGACAGGCCAAGGGGAATGGCTTGAACCTGCCAGAGGGGAGACTGAGCTGAGCTCTTAGGCAGAAGCTCTTCCCTGTGAGGGTGCTGAGGCGCTGGCACAGGGTGCCCAGAGAAGCTGTGGCTGCCCCATCCCTGGCAGTGTTCAAGGCCAGGTTGGACACAGGGGCTTGGAGCAAGCTGCTCTATGGAAGGGGTCCCTGCCCGTGGCAGGGGTTGGAGCTGGAGGAGCTTTAAGGTCCCTTCCAACACAAACCATTCTATGATTCCCTGATTCAAACAAAGCATTTGTCATGCTGATGATCATATTAAGCCATTGCTGCTCATTTTCTCTACCCCGTATTCTGCAGTCAAGGAGCAGGCGCGAAGGGGATTTGCCAAGTGAACCTGAGAGATGACAGCTTTTAAACTTGTTTGTGTCCCAGCAGTTTTGCATTTAGCCCAACAGCATGTGATGCTCTTTACTATGCAAAACTGGCTTTATGGCGTTATTTGCAAGATGGCTTCAGTGGGATGGAAAAATCTTCCTCTGGGCAGATGTTCCCATCCTCATCGCTGTTTGTTTCTCTAATGTGTGTGTCGCATGTATTTTGCAAGTAAATAAATGCCTTTAGTTTTGAGCTGTGAAGAGAACTAGAGCATCTCTTCTGTGCTTCCTTTCTCAGCAAAAGGTATGAGAGGAGGGAAGTGCTATCTGAGCACCAGATGTTATCCTGAGCCTGCTCCCTTGCAAGGATGAAGGCTCCAGGGGTCTTCTCCCACTTCCCAGCTTGATGGTAGGACTGTGCAGGGCAGCTGGGAGGAGTTTCTCATTACAGGGACTGGTTTCCTCAACCTGTTTCGATAGGTGAGAGTTAATCAGGGCTAGAGACAGGTACTTTGCCTCTGCAGAGACGTTTTTGGCAAGAAGGGCTGGTGGTGCCCATCTGTGGGGTAAGGTGCTTTGTAAACAGGAGCTCCTGAGTTATTTGCCCCTTTGCAGAAGGAAAGAGAAGGGTCCAAGCACTTGGGAGACCCCGTTTTTCTCACTAAAGGTAAGGAATAGGTGGCACGTGTTTGTCTGGAGAGGTCAGGGACATTTGTGTCCTCCTTAAAACCTGGAGATTTGGAAGGGAGCCCATTTGTTGGAGCAGATGGGATGGGAGCTGCAGACACCGCATCCACATCCCGCTGCTCGTCATTCCTTGGTGACAAAAGAGGTGAAAATGTAACAGAGCTTGTGTTGAAAGGAGGGTGGTGGTGAGCAGAGAGGCTTTATTTACAGGGGGACGAATTGATTAGAACATGGGGATAGGTGCTATAAATCGTGTAGAGCAAGAGCAGCAGGGTAAGGATGTGGTGTGTCGGCCCTTGTTCATCCCCGTGTCGCTTTGGTCACTGGGTCTCACATTATTAATAGCAAACCCCACTACTGAACTCAAGTATGGGTTAGAGAGGTGCAGAATGAGAGGGGGTTTAAGCTTTTGGATTGGAAAACATGAAGCCACGCGTTTGTTCAGTAGGAGAGTGATGAACTATAATGTTTCATGAGGTGAAAATGGAAGCTTCGTTCCAGCTTCAATCTCAGCTGAAGGCTTAGTGCAGGCTTGAGCCATATAATGTATGGTACCCGCTCCCCCCTCTTAAACAATCAGTGCCTCAAATGCTTCTTAAATCTTAAACCCTGGTTGCTCCAAAAATGACCCTCTAGAGATCCCTGGCAGTGTTCGAGGCCAGGTTGGACACAGGGGCTTGGAGCAAGCTGCTCTAGTGGAAGGGGTCCCTGCCTGTGGCAGGGGTTGGAGCTGGAGGAGCTTTAAGGTCCCAGCTTCCAATCCAATCAGTTTGTGATTTGAGGATTCCTATTGTGGGTACAGATATTACCTGGTACAACTGAACTGTGCCCTGTGTCTGATGCAGTGGTTAAGGTGTAAAAAGACAACTTCTGAAGTGTTTGCTGCCTGTGGATTCTTGCAGGAGTTGGAGAAGCTGTGAAGCAGCATGTGAGAACTTAACCTCTTTGTAGCACCGATGTTCCCCATCTACTGCAGATTGAAGGCTATTTTTTTCTGCTCATTTAGCACCCTTGTGTAGTTGTGTAACTTCTCAATCCAGCCCATTATCTGTGGGGAAACCTTCCTGCCTGCAGCAATGCTTTAGCTCCTTAATACCTCTGTAATGTTCTGTAGCTTTTTATTAAATATAGCCCACTTAATTTGGTGCTGGAAATAACCCATTTGACACTTTAAAGGAGTATTTCTATAGGGAAACAACTCTCTTTATGTTTTAGTATTTAAGGGTAATGCCAGTGGCTGGGATAGTGAGGGACCTGGGGGGTTCAGGCTGGAGAAGAGAAGGCTCAGGGGGGACCTGATGGCTGCCTACAAGTGCCTGAGAGGAGGATGGAGCCAGGAGGGGCTGGGCTCTGCTCCCAAGGAACAAGGGATGGGACAAGAGGAAACGGCCTCAAGCTGCACCAGGGCAGGTTTAGATGGAGCTGAGGAACAATTCCTGCCCCAGAGGATGCTCAGGCATTGGAACAGGCTGCCCAGGGCAGGGCTGCAGGCACCGTCCCTGCAAGTGTTCACACAGCGTGGAGACGAGGCCTCAGTGCCATGGGTTAGGGGTGGCCTGGGCAGTGCTGGGAATGGTTGGACTGGATGAGCTGAAAGGGCTTTTCCAACCTGTTTGATTCCATGAGCCTATAAAACCCTTACGCTATCCCAGATTAATCTGAAATATCTGGCGGTAATGCAAAATATCACAACCTCACAACTGGAAAGGAAGTCAAAGCAGTGATCAGTCACAGCTTGCCATCCAAATGAAACCTATAGGGTGCTGGCTGAATACAGGCTCAGTGATGCTGCTTGGTTCTAGAAGCATTGACTTGTATGTTCATTGAATCCCAGGGAATTGTTGAGGACTGGGAGGGTGGGGAGGAGGGGAGAGGGCTCTGAGAGATGGATGTGGCATTTAAGCTTTGTCATATTGTGGTGCTGGCTTTAATGAGAACTGGTTTTGGTTCCAGGTCCTCTGTGCTGTGGCAGATAACACGGTGCCTGGGAGAGTGAGTGGCCACGGTGCAGCATCCTTCTCACAGAAAGAGGGCTTTGTGGGATGACTGTTCTCCGTATCCTCATGGAAGTTTGATCCCTATCTCTGCTCTTGCTAATTATTCCTGTGTGAATAGAATAAGCTAAAATCTCCTGCTGCTTTTGGCACTTTTGAGGTCCTCATCCCAAGAGGTGAGTCAGCTTTGCTCTCTTGTGGTGGCTGGGAGAGCTGGAGGGGTGGCTCTGCAGCTCTGGAACCGAGCTGTCAGGCTGAACACAGTAGGATTAAACCTGAGACACAGAAAGACATGGCTCAGGAGCAAAGTCCAAGTGAAGCCCGTGTCCATCTGGGCCGTTGGCCTTATTTTCTCCCCTCAAATAGCGCTTTACACAATGTATTTGTTGCATGGCTTTAATCGCAGGTGCAGGAGGAGTACCTGGATATACAAACTAGGAATCTGCCATCCCAAAATTCTTACTTTTGCTGCTGTTTGTGTTTCCTGGACCAGGAGGTCTGTGCTGGCAGTCGCTCTCCCACAGTGGGTGCCATCAAAGACCATCCACGGCAGAGACTTGGACCTGGATGATCTTTCCGGTCCCTCCCAACCCAAACGGTTCCATGTTTCTGTGCTTTACAGTGTCCACCACAGAATCACCTCAGCCAAGCCTGGGGCTGGTGTTTGAGTTGGCTTTTTTTAGCTTCCATTTCTGGGCCGAAGGCTCAAAGAAGAAAGAAATGGGAGAGATGAGAGCACAGGCTCCAGCAAAGAGGAAGGAGCAGACGTACGTCTGCGTGTAGTCATAGAGCCACCCTGCAGGAGGAAAGAGCAGTGTTAAAGCTGGTGGATTTTAATCACCCAAAGAAAAAGCTCATTTTGGGAAGTGGGTGGGAAGCAGGGATGTGTGCTCTTGGCTAAGAATTCCTTAGATGTTTCCTTGGAATTGTCTTAACTCTTCATGTGCTGCTGCTGGACTGTTACATCTTCTGCTGTTGGTATTAACCCTAACTTGTAGCTGACTTCTGATCCTTGTAGTGCACACGGGTTTTAATTGGATTGAATTTCATCCCTGCCTTTTTATTCCTGTTTAAATAAGGGGGCCAAAAGTAACTGCTGCAGCAGATGGATAATCCCATTGGACTAACGAGATGCTTTGCATGTGTTGGTGACTGCAACATCTGGGCTGCAAAGTCCACATCCTTCTTGTGAGCAGACCCAGTTTAAGGCAATCTAACAGGAGAGATCCCAGGCTGGGAGCTTGATGTGAACTTGCTTTAAAGTAGCTTTGGGAGCACTTAAAAGGGAAAACTAAATTCCATAGAGGCTCAGGAATCAGTGAGGCAGGTCACCTCTTCAAGTGACCTCCAAGGGTTTTGTTTAGCTGTGGCATAGCATCTTGTGTCTAGACAGTGCTGTTAAAGGGGGCTAAATCCTCTGTTTAAAACAGACAAAGTGATGGGAATTGCTGTGGCACCTGATAAAAGCCTTTATATAGTCCCAAATGTGGCCTGGGATGGTTGGATGTCTGAGGTGGGTTAGCAGCTGAGCCAGATCTGCTGCTCGTATAAACTGCAGTTCCCCTGGGGACATCCCTGGACTCGCCCGATTTACACAAGCAGCAGATCTGCCCCAAATCTGGGATTCTTAAAACCAGCTCTAGATAGGGAGGGACGTAACACAGTCCCTGGAGAGCCTGGTCTCAGCCGTGCCGGAGCGTTGCTGCTTTGGGAGTGCCACAGCCCTCAGGAAGGGAGGAAACGGAGCCAGTGAAATCTGGGCATCGGTGACAGAGCAGAGGTGCAGTTGTTTTCCCTGCTGTGGATCTCCATGGCTGCAGGAGGGTTTTAGGGGACAGAGGGGAGGCTGTGGGCCGTGCTGCTCTGCTCCTGTTGGCTCCTGCTGTCCTCAGGGCAGTTCCAGCTCTGTTTCTTTTCTCAGGGACATCGTGTGAGCCGCGGCGGAGGCGAAGCCAGAGCTCGCTGCTTGAAGGAGGACCCCATGGTGCTGGACGTGGGGATGTGGGTGCTGCTGCCGTGACCCTGATGGTTCTGCAGTGGTTTGTTCCCCAGGGTGGGATCTGTGGTTGCTGTCTCAAAGTCTCTGGGATTTGGGCAGGAAAAGGGCCTGCTCAAGGCCAGGTTGGATGGGGCTTGGAGCAGCCTGGTCTAGTGGAAGGGGTCCCTGCCCTGCAGGGGGGTTGGAACTGGATGATGCTTTCCAAGCCAAACCATTCTGTGACACTAACGTAGTCATTTGTAAGGGGTGCAGGACAACGCTCCAGCTGACTTCTGATTTATTGCAGGTATTTTGAAGTGTCTTTCAGAATGGTTTGAAACGTGGGGGATTCTGGGGGGCTGCTGCCCCTCACCACACAGCGATCACCTCACCTCACAGGGATCGCCTTCCACCACATCACACCCCAGCTTTTCAAAGCACCTCTGGTGCCTGTGCCTCCTTTCCTCATCCAAATGAGAAAATCATTCCTGCTGGAGGAAGCTGAGTTAGAAGCTTATGGTGGGCAAAAGCCAGCAAAGCAGAACTTTTGTCTTCCAGTACCTGAAGGAGCTCCAGGAAAGCTGGAGAGGGGCTTGGGACAAGGGCCTGTAGGGCCAGGCCAAGGGGAATGGCTTGAACCTGCCCCAGGGGAGACTGAGATGAGCTCTTAGGCAGAAGCTCTTCCCTGTGAGGGTGCTGAGGCGCTGGCACAGGGTGCCCAGAGAAGCTGTGGCTGCCCCATCCCTGGCAGTGTTCAAGGGCAGGTTGGACACAGGGGCTTGGAGCAAGCTGCTCTATGGAAGGGGTCCCTGCCCGTGGCAGGGGCTGGAGCTGAAGGAGCTTTAAGGTCCCTTCCAACCCAAACCAGCCTGGGATGCTGTGTTTAAATTGCACTGCTGCTCTGTTTGTTTATCCCTAAGCAGCCACACCTGGTGTGGGGATGCAGGTAACATTTAGACAAGAGCATCCCGATTCAGGTGCCAGCACAGCTTTCAACTGACTCCATCACCTTTTGCCACCCAAATTTGCTGGGGCTGGTGTTTGGGTGCTGCTGGATGCTGGAATCTGGTTTGTAGTTATGGGTGACAGGGTTTGTTTTATGTCAGTTGCACTCTGAGGTACTGATTTACGCTGCTTTACAGAAATCAGAGGTACTCATCTCTCCTTAGCTTGCCTGTGGCTGCCATATGAAGTTTGTTCTGTCTTGTCCTGGTTTGGTTTGGTGTTTTTCAGCAGGGGAGAAGTGCCCAGCAGTGCTGGTGGGTGAGGAGCTGCGATGGAACCTTCAAACTCTTCACCCTGGGCTTTCGGTCAGGCTGCCTCTGGATTTAAGGGCTTGTACTTAAACAGATTGGCAGGTGAGTCACCTTTTGTTGCAATGTGATCAGGCTTTGTTCTAGTGTGCAGAATAAGCTTTTTTAACCTCAGTGGCTCTCACTATGCTTTGGGATTCACTGTTAGAACATTGTAATGCTAAAAGGGAAGGCTTGAGGGAGGTCAGCAGCCATCAGAGGCACTAAACCGCAGGATCCCACATAGCATTTATATCCTGTTTGTATCCTGCAAGGAGCAGATCCTTTGGACACTTTGAGTTAGTAGCTGCTGGTCAGATTCAGTTTTCACACCTGATACTGTAATGGAAGAGAAAATTGCAGCATTTCTCTTGGATCACAACCCTAGATCCTGAGCTCTGCATTGGTTCCCTCTCGCTCTGCCTGCAGGGAGATGGATCAGCGAGAGTTTTCCTTCTTGGCTTTATGTGGCCTTTATTTATCCCACCAGGATCAAGAAGACTGATTTCTGTGGAAGGCTTTTTGCAGGAAACCTGCTTGCTTTACAAAATGCAGACAGGGTGTTCACAGGGTGAGTGGTTGGCACTTCCCGAAGGCAAAAGGCTTGCAATTAGTGCGAATATATTGGAAGTGGATGAAAGTGTAACCACTGTGTTAGCATGTGTGATGCATGGATGAGAGAGAACCCAGTTATTTAGCTCTTTTTCTACTGTATGTTACTGTGTCGGGGAATTTACTGTGATGGTTGTACAGGGATTGCTTTTGGGTGGACATACATCTTGTATCAGTGGAAGAGCTATCCAATAGAGGCTATGGATCACTGTGACAGCGTAAAGCATGCTGTCAGTGAAACACTTTAGCTACTTGAAATTGCATCCACATCGAGTTTTATATTGATGAGGGAAATCAATCTGGTGGGTTTTCCACATGCTTATGATAGAGCAGCGGTGCTAAACCTCTGCGTGGAGCTGGGATTTACAGGCTCCTTGGCAGCTGTGAGCAAAGTGCCTCTGCAGGCTTGGGGCAGCTGATAGCAGGGGCAGGAAGCAAGGCATGAAGAGCGAGTTGGCAGGTTCTGTTCAGGATCCATTTGCTGGGGGGGTGACAGGACATCGTTCACCCTGCTCTTTGACACTGCAGCTTGTCCTAGTTTGTTTGCACCAGGAGGACCTCAGCAGAGCTCAGTGGTGTTTCCAATGATGAGGTATGGCTGTGAAGGGTCATGAGGGAAAGGAAAAGCTTTGGTCCTGGCCAAGATGTTTGGAGGAGAACAAGCCCTTTGCTTGTAAGCAGAACCTGGAGCCTCACTTCTAAGCACTTGAAATCTGCCACATACTGAGAACTGCCTTGGTTTTCTGGCAGAGAGAAAGGAAAAGCTTTTCATCCTGCTTATCTCTGGGCCCAGGAGCTCCTGTGGCTGAGCTGTGTAATCTTCAAAACGAGATTACAGAGACTTCTCCTTAGGTTTCAGCGCCTCTGCTTGATACGGGACTGCTGCTGAGCCTGTCCTTGCTCTGCCTTCCTCTCCTCCAGTCCCTCTGTTCCAAGTTCAAGGTTATAATGCTCCACTGGGGGTAAGATCCCTGGCACTGTGGTTGTTACTCTTCTGCTGTGTTAAATGTGGTGATGAGGGGTGAGGGGGATGTTTAGCTGCTCTTTTTCCATGCAGCTTTTTGGCCAAACTAGTTTGGGTTTTGTGAATTCCTGAACAGAATTTGTGTATAGAGAGAAGTACCTGAAACATGGCTGTTTTTCACCCCCCCACAGACAGAGGAACCATCCCTGGACGCACACGGGTAGAAGAGTGGGCCACCAGCGTGTTGTACCATGGGCTGTCTGCGGTGGGTATAATTATACATCACGTAAGAGTTACCTGCTAGAGGAGGTCCTCCAACTGCTGCTATCCCAGCGAAGAAGGCAGCAAACCCCAAGTAGCTGTGGAGGTTTTGCACTCCCACGAGATCCACCTGTTTGCAGACCAGAATGGGTAATTTCCCAGTTCAAGGGACTTAATGTGTGAAAGCACAAGAGAGCATTTTATTATTATTCCTATTTTGACTGGTGAGCATCCTCTTCAGCTGCAGTTTTGAAAGGACTTTGCACCTCAAGGTCTCATCCAGCCTGGAATCCGCTCGCCTCCTTAAGGCCAGCATGGAAATGACTAGGATGGGAGATGCTTTTCTGCCTCCTGACTGCTTGAGCAGCTCCTGGAACTAGTACTGCTGCTAAGGCTATGAGGAAGGTGTTTTAAACTCCAAATTCCCCCCCAGAAAGAAATGCCAAATGATAATGATACCTCCATATCCAGATCCTGTGTGACTGCTCTGTGTGTGTTACAGGTAATTCTGGGATTGGGAGTGGATATGCACAACCCTGTCTTAGCATTAGGAAGTGAATGGATTCATCCCAATACCTATGAGGTGGAGTGGTCTCCCTTAGAAAGGAGGATGTGGAAGGCAGTTAAAGCCAGGTCATTACAAATCTGCAGTCAGTTCCCAGTGTTTCTGTTACATCTGGGCTGTGGACACTAGTAAGTGGGGTGGAGAGAAGATCTGGGGCTCCAAAGGTGGGGAGAGCCCTCTCAGGCAGGTCTGGCTAATGCAGCTTTACGGAAGGCGGTTGGGATGATGTGGGAATACTGTTGGAAATGCCACGTCTGATGCTTTATTAACAAAACATCCTACTCACCAGCACAGGGAGGACCAGAGCCATGAACCCACCGCAGAAAACAGCAAAGGCCACCACGTAGGTCATGAGCAACGGGAAGGTGGTGGCCAGAGGACAGAGCAGGTTAGTGATGCCGCTGAGGACAAGGTAAGCCGCGTGGTAGTGATACTTCTTGGTCCAGTTCTTGTCGGCCACCCAGCCTGAGAGGAGCTGGCTGACCATCTCCGTGATGCCTGCGGGGAAGAGGAGTCCACCAGAGCCTCAAAGAAGACTTTATTTAGTCTCTAGTTTGCTGTTTCGCACTAAACCCCATCCCGATCCCACCCGCTTGCTGCGGGGATGTGACTGCAAAGGGCTGGAATGCTGGGAAGGTCCAGGAAGGTGATTTTAGGCTGATGTAAAATTAATGTTTGAGGGTTTTTTTTTCCCCTTTGCCTTGGTGCCTGCTATTGCCAAGTGCCTGTGGGTGCACCAGAGTGGTCCGTACAGATTCCGTCAAGGGCTGTGCACTCAGTGGAAGGCTCCGCAATGCCCTGTAGTAAAACCAGGCAAGAGAAGCTTGCTCTTTGAGCTCTCTTTTGGGATGGAATAAAAGCTGAATATTAAGAGGAAAGATGCTGATGAGATGGTAATATCTATAAGGAAGCCAAGGAGGACAAAAGCCCTTTTTTAAAGGCTTAGCAGACTTTTGATACTTGGTTTTTACATCTCTTGCTCCCTTTGCTTATAAACTAAAGATCAGAGGGGTGCTCACTGCCAGCTAATAGCTTGCTGACCACGGTGCCCTCCCACTCTTAATCCAAATGTCAGCCTAATTGCTGCCTTCTCCTTCTAGATGCCTTGACAGCCTATGTCACTTCTAAAGCTGATACAGAAGTTTATTTTTGTACAATAAAAACCTTTACAATGACTGAGGTTGGAGCCGCTTTCTTAACCCGGTGCGACTTTAATGTTAATCCCCACTTATCCTCAGGCATGGTTGGGGTGTTTGGGGGGGTTTGGGTTGGTTTCCCCCACCCTTGGGGTAAATGTGCCGAATTCAAATGGCTACATCCAAGTTAATGTTGTTTTTTTCCCCCTAATACTGATTTTTTTCTCTCTGCACACACTCCTGGCTCAGACTTGAGGTCTTTGAATGCCCGGATTCTGTGGCTTGTGGCTTTAGGCAAAGCAGGGCTGGTGGTGGGGAGGCTTTAGGAGGACAGATAGCACCTATGGATTTGGAAACGGGTTTGTTCCGTGCAGCGAGGGTGGGGGATCATCTAGCTTAGGCTGAGAGAACCACCCCCATGTGAGAGCGACTTGGTACATGTACAGAAGGCGCCGTTATATGTACAGAAGGCACCGTTATATTTACAGAAGGGGGGGTATAGGCTGAAGAGTTATTCTGGGCCATATTTGGGACTATTTCTTGGCAAGCTTTGTGTTGCTTCTCTTTCCTATTTGAGTATCATTGTCATTATAAATAGCTTTAAAAGATTCTTTTTGCCTACCAGCCACTGAAACGAGGTAAGAGGCATCCATGCTGCTTATGCCCAGCGTCCTGGCTCTTGCTACCAAGTGGAAGGTGGGCACGAAGTAGGCCAGGTGGCAGAACAGAAAAGACCATGTGAAAATGTAGAAGATGGGATCCTTCAGTGGGGAGAAGTCGAGGAGAGGCTGAGCATCTCCTGTTTGGGTCCCTGGATGGGGTTTGTAGCTTCTCTTGGCCTCGGTGGCTGTTCCTGCTGAGCTCATGGTGGGTTTGTTGACCCTCTCCGAAGTATTTACAGGAGCAGGGACATCTCTGCTGTGGGGCATGGTGACTCCCTCCATGGTGGGCAGGTCCTGTGTGCTGTGAAGCTCTATTTCCTTGTGAGTGCTTCCATCTAAGCATCCATCGAGGGTTTCTGAATCCTTCTTTGCTGTTGAAGACCCGCCACGGTCTTGACTTCGAGCAGGGGGACGTCGAGGTGGCTGGGTGCTGACGGGGCGCAGCAGCATGCTGGAAGGCACGAGGTTTAACATGATGCCTCCGAAAACCAGGAGAGTACCTGAGGGAAGGCAGAAGATGCTATTTATTTTCCTTGGCGTGGGAAGGAAGGAGCACCGTAGGGTGTAGTGTGCACTGAACGTGGAGAAAGCTCTGCTCTATCTCTATAAGCTGTTATTCCTGGTTTTTCCAGCTGGAAGTCCCTTCTGCTATGATGCACACAACAAATCCAGAGCCACCTCTGGGACCTGGGAGCTTGGTTTGTTTCCCCTCATGAGGGAACATGATGGACCTTCGAGGTGGCCTGAAACTGTAGTCAAAACCAGGATTTTCACTTCTGGTTTTGGTTTCTGAGGTGTCTGTTTTGACTCTGACTTTAATGACTGATTCAAGCGTTTCATCATTACCAGGATGTCCCCAAACTGTTCCTCAGCACATCCAATGCTCTAACCCTGCCCAGATATCCTCAAACTCCCTCTTAATGCTGATGAATTAGAAGAAATGGGAGCTGGGCTCACCTTGCCAGCCATAGAAGTCGATGAGGAGCTGGGTGAATGGTGCTATGAGGAACGTCAGCCCCATCCCAGAGCGGGCGATGGCGCTGGCGAAGGCCAGCCTTGTCCTGCAGCGCTTGGCCGTCATCACCGTGGCTGCCTGGTAGAGGCAGGCGAAGCCCATACCTGTGGTGAGGGACAGAAATGGAACTGTTTCTATCGTGAGCTTTAGGGATTCCACATCACAACGGCCCAAGATCATTGTCCGCAGAGTGGAGGGTTCATGGGCTGAAAGGGGGGAACTTCTGCTGGTGCAGTCAGTGGAGAGCAAGTGGTATTTAGTGGCTGGGGGTATTGAGGCTGTGCACTGTTAGTAAGGGGTTTAACAGGCCAGGATTCATGCTGGGTCCAGAAAAAAATCAAGGTTAGTTGAGATGAGTGTGTTGAAACTGGTATTTTAGGCTCCTGAGCATGAAGCTTTGGTGCTTCACGCAGCATCCCATGGGAAGGAGCTGGGATGCTCTAATAGTAAAGGAACTGCCTGGTGTGATGTTAAAGGAGCTGCTTTTACTCATGGAGCCCGGGGAAATCTGTGCCCGAGTCGCAGGCTGCTCACCCAGGAGGAGTCCCATGGAGATGCAGAGGAAGGGGACGCTGGTGGCCTGTGTGCTGAGCAGGCAGCCCCCGGCCACCACGGCGGCCCCGGCGATGGAGGTTGGCCGCTCGCCCAGCTTCCTGCAGACCACGGCCACGAACGGGGCTGGAAGGGGAAGGAGGGACAAAGCTCAGGCTGAAGATGACAAAACGGCTTGGGGACGTGTATTGGGATCCGGTGCCTTAGGAAGCGTCCGTTCGCCACCGTGGGACAGAGGGAGGGCAGGGACCCCTTCCATAGAGCAGCTTGCTCCAAGCCCCTGTGTCCAACCTGGCCTTGAACACTGCCAGGGATGGGGCAGCCACAGCTTCTCTGGGCACCCTGTGCCAGCGCCTCAGCACCCTCACAGGGAAGAGCTTCTGCCCCAGAGCTCATCTCAGTCTCCCCTCTGGCAGGTTAAAGCCATTCCCCTTGGCCTGGCCCTCCATCCCTTGTCCCAAGCCCCTCTCCAGCTTTCCTGCAGCCCCTTTAGGCACTGGAGCTGCTCTAAGGAATCCCTGGACTTGGTCCAACAGCTCCACATCCCTCTTATGTTGGAGGATGTGTTAATGCTCAGGACAGGATTAATCTGGGATGGGTTATTATTCAGGAGAGCAGACAAGAGGCTTTGTAACCTGGGAGCTCAGGGGTCGGGGCAGGGGAAGGAGTCAAAGCCCAAACAGAGCCTGTTTCCTGATGCACTGTGCTCAGCCACTGGGACTTCCTTGGAGGTGCCGGCATTGGTGTTAGAGGTGAGGCTTGGCTCTGGGTGCGGACAATAAACCTATTACAGCAAGGTGTCATGGCACACACGATCCCCATCCTTGGACCATGCTCCCAAGGCACACATGGGCATCAGCCATGCCCAGGATGCAGCAGTCTGGGATGGAAATGGGATCCGCAGAGCATCCCTGGTGCCCACGTATCAAAGCAAATGGCCTTGAGGTTGGGACGCTGCTCCAATCCCTAAGGGTTCCAGCTCACCTCCTAAGAAGCGCAGCGAGGACATGATGGAGCCGATCCAGCTGATCTGCTCAGAGGAGCCCCCCATCTCCTCTTGGAAAGCCATGAAGAAAATCCCAAAGGTCTTGAGCATCCCCATCACGAGTACATTGACCTGGATTGGAAGCAGATGCAGGTGAGGTGCCATCAACTGGAGGAAAAAGCTTCTCCTTCCTCCTTCCTTGTGCAGACAACTTGTGTTTTAAGGAGAAACAAGGCGGGACACATGAACTGGTGTGTGATGGGGAGCACCAGGGGTGTGGAATACCAGCTGGTGGCCACGCTGCAGTTTCATCTTAGACCCTCAAAACCACCTTGTGTGCAAACAGGCAGTTCTAAAGAAAGGGAGCAAAATAACACCAGAGCCCAACTTTTCACACTGAAAATGAACCTAAATGGGGCTTATTACTATTGAAGGCGTTGGGCAGGGTGGGGATGGACGTCAGCCAGGGCAGGTTCCCAGGCTTGCCCTGCCACAGGGCAAAGGACAGTTTGTGTCCTTAATGTTAACTCCCTCTTTCCCCCCCGGTAGTGGGTGGTTAATGATTGGCAGGGAGTTACTTTGGATGGAGTGGAAGCAGGGAAAGTTTTCCTGCACTTCCCAGCTTTCTGAGCTAGGGGATGGTGTCTTCCCCATGGATGTGCTCTTAGAGCCTGTGGCAGGGAGAATTAGTGCCTTTAAGAGGTGTTGATGTGCCCGGCCCTCCCAGGAGAGAGGAGTAGCGTGTGTGCTGCCTGCAGCCAGTGCTGCTCTGGGGACCCATCTCAGCTCCAATCCTTCACTGCCCCAAGATGGGATCTTGCCCTTACCAAAGGCACTGCTGGGTTTGATACCCCAGTGCTGGTGTGTATGAGTAGGGAAGACCCATCTGAGCACTGCAAGCTGCCTTTAGGTGCTAGGCTGCAGGTTGGGCACCCTCATGTAGATCCCCTTCATAGGGGAAGGTGTCTGCTCAGCCCTGGTGTGATGGGTGATGGTGCTCGGGGTAGCAAAGCACAGGTGATTTCTGCCCTTCCCTCGGTGGGCTCAGCCTGCCCCATCCTCTGCTCCACCGAGGTCTTTCCATCTGCCCCAGCTGATGGAGGCAGGGGGTTTGGTCGAGTTTGTTCTGTGCTTACCAGGAAGAAGTGGAACACCACTCCCCAAGCGCAGCCTCCATCTGCAGCTTCAGCCCCTGGGCAATTCCCGGCTGCCGGAGCCTCCGGTTCTTCCACCTTCCTTTCACCTGGGAATGGGAATTCCAGCACACATTAACACCTTGCTCTGTGGCTGTTCCCATGCAGGCATCAGCTGCCTTTGAACCCCGCAGCTCCGCTGGTACTGGGGCAGGCACCGGTGCTTTGCATTCAGCTTGTGAAAGCTGTTGGGGGTGGGTGAAGCTTTCACCAACCTTTTGGCCACCAGATGGGAAGTTGCACATTTGCTGCCTGCAAACAGCTCAATATCCTTCCTCTTTCCGCCCAGATTACTGGAGCCACTTGAGCTTTAAGGGATTTTAAGAGACAAGCACTTTTCTGATGCTTTAGGGTAGATGGTTTAGTTGGTTTGTGCCAAAAGCTGGGGGGTCACCATCTACCTGTGTCCATCTTTGAGCTCTCATGGGAAGCTCTCCCTGCCCTGTCCTTCTCTGCTTATCTCCTTTCCACCCTCCCGCCCGTCATACACCTCTGGCTGTGGCAGGAGCCTGCCTCAGGGACCAGCTGGATCCTAAAGGAGTCGGGGTTGATGAACCTGAAATGTTTCCTTACCCCCTTGCTGCTCCATGCTGGAAAATCCTCCCCAAAACTGGCGCTTGCAGAGAGGAACCGTCTCTTCATTTGCTCCAGAAACTAAATCCCCCTTCCTTTGGCACTCCAAAGTCTGGGCCTTCATTCACCTCCAGTGAGGATGATGGTGTCCGACCTTCCCAATGAGCCCCACCGTGGGACATGGAGCCTGAGAAGCGCTGGGGCTGAGTGGACGGAGCCCATCCTCCTCCTCCTCCTCCTCCTCCTCCTCTCGCGAGGCAGAGCCCAGCTAGCAGGGCCCCAAGGCCAGGAGTCCCTCCCCTTCCCTGGCCAGGAGCAGGAAGCTCAGAACATTGGGAGCAGAAATCCTACTGGGAGAAAAGAGGAAGGGTTGGAGCTCCAGGAAGAGCCCTGGATCTTGCTGAGCAGAGCAAGAGGTGGCAGTGGTGGATACAGGGGAGCAGAGCCCCATCCCTGCCTGTCCTACACAAGCCTTGGTCTGGGAGACTGCATCATTCGGGATGGGATGCTCTGGAAAGCTGTAGATTCCCCAGCCGAGATGCTGGGCAGTGGAGCGGAGCAGCCACTCGAGCGGAGCTGTGGTTTGCCAGGGTTGGAGTTGGCTCCGTGCCTCTCCTGTAAACACGCACCAGCTCCTGGCTCAATAGAGCCCTCACGCTTCCTCCTCCGCCCCGTCGCGGGTGACCCATCACCCCCATCAGCATTCCTGAGGGCACATGAGCTTGTGGGATCATGATGAGGATCTCTGCTCCCTCCCTCGGCAGGGAGGGCACTGCTCCAGCTTGCGGGAGGAGCCAGGAGCCTGTGGAGGCTCTTTCCCTATAGCAGGACTTTCAATGTGCACTGAGCTTTTAAGTGCACTGGGGTCTGCAGGGAGCGTGGTTTAAGCACAGCAGTGGCTGTGAGCTGTGAATGCTGCTGATAAACAGAGCTGCTCCTAGCAGCAGAGCCCCAGCCCCGTGACCACCCTTTTAACTCGGAGCCAGCCCCATTTCCTGGCTCGTGCTCTGCTGTGGAGCGTCCCCTTCACTGCACGCACGAGCACAGCTGCAGGCCTTCCACTGCCTCACACACAGGAAGCTTTTGAGTGTAGTTTTCCAAGGGGAAAGCCTTTGTGCAGGATTGTTTCCCTGCACCATTCCAAATGCCGGAATCTCTAAGAGGGAGAGAGGTCTGGATTTGTGAGGCTGTTAACATCCATTAACAGTTCACACGGGGACCAGGCAGCCAGGACCACCGTGTGTAGGGCTGAACTTCAATCCAAGGCACAGTAAGCAAGTAACTTACACACAGGATGTTTAACTAGAGGAGGGTAAACATTTCCAAGGAGAAATTCCTTGGGAAGTGTTGGCACCTTGTCCCCTGGAGGAGCCTCCACTACTTCAAGTCTTGGTGCACTATTGCTCCCCTCCAGAGAAATGCTAGTGAAGGAGGGAGTGGGAGAAATCACCTCGCTTGGCTTTGGAATCAGGGCAAAGCCATGGCCATGGTTTTCACAGCTGGAACAAAGGGAAGTAAAGGGTTTTTTTGCAGGTCATTTATTGATTCTTCCAACAACTAAAGCCACGCACACAAATACACCGTGTAGTATCTGATCATTACACAAGCTTGGTGAGTGAGCCCTGTTTCATCCTCAGCAGCACGAGTGCTAGAAGTGTGAGTGAGAGACCCCGATAGCTGCAGAAGGAGCTGGTTCAGTGGAGAGGGAGAGCTTTCAGCCCAGGTTTGGTACTGCAGGTGTGTTCTGGGCTCGAGCAACAGAGGAGGGAGGTTGTCCAGTGAGGAGGAGCTGGGCCAGGGGGGGGAGCAAAGTGCTGCACGGGTTCCTGGTGGTCAGGACGCCAGCTTATGGACTGCTACGGTGATGCTGTCGTGCTTCTGGATCATGATGTTCCTAGATCAAGAAAAGGCTGGGATGAGGAGGAGCCAACTTGGGTTGGAGAAAGGACAGGGGTATAAGTCAGTGTCTGCAGCACCTCCAGCTCAGCACTAGACCTACGGTTGCTGCATCTTTTCTGCTGGAGAAGTCTTTTCCTACAGCACTGACCGGCTCCAGCACTGGCTTTGCTATCTGTGGGGATCCCAAGTGGAAGAAAATAAAGCTGCAGTAACCACCACCCCTGAAAGGTTTCCTACTGCTGCTGCAGTTCCTGCTGCTTGAGCTCCCATGAATGTAGAGACTTCTAGATCCTGCTCCTCTACTCTGCTCTCATGATACCCCACTTGCAGCACTGGGTGCAGTTCTGGTGCCCTCAACATAAGGAGAACATGGAGCTGTTGGAGCAAGGCCAGAGGAGGCCACGAGGATGCTCAGGGGCTGGAGCACCTCCTGTATGGAGCCAGGCTGAGAACATTGGGGCTGTTCAGCCTGGGGGAGAGAAGCTGTGTGGAGACCTCAGAGCAGCTTCCAGTGTCTGAAGGGGGCTGCAAGGATGCTGGAGAGGGACTCTTCATCAGGGACTGTAGCAACAGGACAGGGGGTGGTGGGTTCAAACTGAAACAGGGGAAGTTCAGGTTGGATCTAAGGCAGAAGCTCTTCCCTGTGAGGGTGCTGAGGCGCTGGCACAGGGTGCCCAGAGAAGCTGTGGCTGCCCCATCCCTGGCAGTGTTCAAGGCCAGGTTGGACACAGGGGCTTGGAGCAAGCTGCTCTAGTGGAAGGTGTCCCTGCCCGTGGCAGGGGTTGGAACTGGAGGAGCTTTAAGGTCCCTTCAACCCAAACCAGTCTGGGATTCTAATTCACATGCCCATGGCAGTCAGCACCTTCCCCCCATGGCTTCAGAGTTCCCCCAGTTCAGGTCAGCAAGAGGAGAGCCCCAGGGCAGACAAGGGGAAAAGCAGCAGCCGCTGGCTGGGAACTCACCCGCTGTCCGACTCCAGGCACACCACGGGGGTGTCGGTTGGGTCAGAGGTGAGCTTGGCTGCCTGCTGTGCGAGCACAGAGATGACCCCGGCGTGCTCATCCGAGAGGGTTCCTCTGCCTGCGAGGGGGCAGACGCTGGCTGAAGCCACATCTCCCAGGAACAACCCCACTGAGAGAGGGCTGGACTGAATGACCTTTACAGACCCCTTCCGACCCAAACCATTCCCTGTGCCTCCACTTAAACAGATCCCGTCTGGAGCTGTGGGGGCCGCTCCTGCCTCCCTTTAGCACCGATGCAGCATCTCCCCCCACTGACGCCCTCAAACCACTGGAAGCCTGAATTCCAGCAGCAGGAAGAGCAGGCTCAGCGCATGGAGCGGGGGGCAAGGCGAGTGCCACGGGGTGGCGGGGGCGCTTGGGGACACCCAAAGGCTGGTGGGAGGCTCCAGCCGCGCAGGGCGCAGTGTTCCCCCCCCCCAGCCCTTGCCCTGCGGTGGGGCTCGGTTACTCACAGCCCAGGTTGAGCCCCTGCGAGTCCGTGCACAGGACGCCCACCACGGCCGGGCTCTTCATGCTGCGGGGGGAAGAGACACAGCGGCGGTGAGGCGAGGGCAGGCCGGCCGCGGCGCTCCTCCTGCCCCGCTGCGGCCCCACAGGCCCGGCCCCCGCCTCGTCCCGTCCCCGTCGGGTCCCCGCGGGCCCTGCCCCGCTCTCCCCGTCCCCGGTGCGGCTCCACCGGCCCAGCCCCGGTCCCTACGTGTCCTCCAAGTGCTGCTCCAGCGTCCCCTCCATCTTGCCGCGCCCCTTCACTTCCGCCCTCCCTGGCAGTGGCGTCGCTCACGGAGACGGCGGCTCCGCAGGGCCAAAAGGCCTCGCCGCGCAAAGACCCCCCTCCGGCTCGGCCGCATCGGGCGGGGACCCGGGGTGCTCCCCAAGCAGCTCCCGGCGCGGAGCCTCCCGGGGTCTGTGGCATCAAGGAGCCGCTGCAGGCTCAGGCATGAGCCAGGCTGGGGGCTGGATGCGGGTCCGGACACTGCACCCCCCGGCTGCCTTCCCCTGCCTGCCCCTGGGTGCGGTTCTTGGGGTTTGGGGGTTGTTCTCCCCTTTTTTCCACCCTTGTGCCCCCCACATGGGTTTGTTCGTGTTTCCCTCCCGCCGCGCAGCAGCGCTGGGCTTTGAACGGCAAAACGCAATTCCAGTGGTGGATTGATAGCCCTGCACTGCCTTCCCCAGGTGGAGCATCCTCTCACAGCTGGACCACAGCGAGGGATGCAGGAACACGGGTTCGCACGCTGGCCTTGCTGATGGAACCCCCACTGCGGTCCTGATCCAGTTCTGGGGCAGCAGCACAAGAGGGACGTGGAGCTGTTGGAGCGAGGCCAGAGGAGGCCATGGAGATGCTGCGAGGGCTGGAGCAGCTCTGCTCTGGAGCCAGGCTGAGAGAGCTGGGCTGGGGCAGCCTGGAGAAGAGAAGGCTCCTGAAGGGGAGACCTGAGAGCAGCTCCAGTGCCTGAAGGGGCTGCAGGAAAGCTGGAGAGGGGCTTGGGACAAGGGATGTAGGGACAGGCCAAGGGGAATGGCTTTAACCTGCCCGAGGGGAGACTGAGATGAGCTCTTAGGCAGAAGCTCTTCCCTGTGAGGGTGCTGAGGCGCTGGCACAGGGTGCCCAGAGAAGCTGTGGCTGCCCCATCCCTGGCAGTGCTCAAGGCCAGGTTGGACACAGGGGCTTGGAGCAAGCTGATCTATGGAAGGGTTCCCTGCCTGTGGCAGGGGTTGGAGCTGGAGGAGCTTTAAGCTCCTTTCCAACCCAAACCACTCCATGACTATGATTTACAGCAGGAAGGGCCACTCTGGTCCGATGCCTGCAGTGCCGGGGTGAGGGGATCAGGACTCCCACCTTGCTCCCATGAGGCAGGAGGTGTTCAAAGTGATGCCCAGCCCGGCTTTCCTGCCAGGAGCCTCCCCCCAGAAAGGAGCCCAGCAGAGAGTAGGAGGTAATTTATGGTGGCTGCATCGCAGAGCTCGGCGGCGCTAATAAAGTGCCAGCTAAAGCCGTTCCCGGCTGCGCCTGGCGATAGATCTTGCCTTGTCAGGTTGGCAAATTAAAATGTTATTGATGGGGGAAGTGCAGCAGCAGCTTTGATTTATTCATTACTCTCAATTCTAGTTTTCTTTCTCCTTCATCCAGCTGTAAACTCCTTTGGGCAGCGCTGGGAGCCCCAATCCCCACTGTCCAGTGGCTCCCCGCTGCATCCCACCCTGTTAGGATGGACTGAGATTCCCTTTCTTGTGTTACTCTTTTTCTCCCCAAGACAGGGCAAAAATGTGCCCGGCAGAGGCTGGGGGCTGCATCCTCCCTGCCCCACCAGCATCTTCGCAAGGAAACCTCCCAGAACAATGCTCCCCACAGCTGGATTTATGGAAGGAGGGGCTCTGAGGAGAACTGGGATTACTTTGTTCAAGCCCAGGTGGAGGAGACTTTAGGGAAGCAGCCGCATCAAAAGCAGTGCTGCTCTGTGGGCAGGGAAGTGATTAAATAGAAAGTTTAGCACTGGACTGATCCTCTACAAAAGGAACTCAGCAGAAAAGGCTGATTTTGAACCATGTGCCTCCGAGCAAACCCTTATTTCAAATCCCAACCCATCACCTTGGGCCATGTTTTCCCTCTGGCTTCTGGTCCCTAATTTGCCTCCAAAGAGCAGGTCCGGCAGGGAGCAGCCCCAAAATCACTCAGGGGTGTTTGTTCCTCATTGGGAAAAGCCACAAGGGAATATATTTATAAACTCATAATGCTGATGAGGAGCCCCAATACGATGGGGATGGAACCTGGCAATGCAGGGCTGGAAAAATCCATCTTGCTGGGTCAGAATTGCAAGCTCAGCTTTATTTTTTTTGGGGGGAAATGGAGTTTTGCTTCCTGTTCTTGTGCAGAGGGTCTTAGCCATGATCTCTGCTTGCATGGCCCTGGCCAGCACAGCTCTGGCCGTTGGGAACTTAGTCTGGGAGTCCCAGCCAAATCCAGGCTGGACAGTGGGGTACCACTCTCTGTATGTTGGCCATGGAAAAGCAAAGGGGCCACATGGGAGGAACCTGCCCCAGCTCTATGGGGACATCGCATTTCAGAGGCTGCTGAGATTTCTTCCTCCTCTCCCACCTGATGGATGTGACTCTTGAGCCAGTGGGTGCTTTGCCGAGGCCCCCATCTCATCCCTTGCATCCTTCCAGGGTGTACAAATTGACAAAGAAGCTGGTAATTCCATCTTTTCCTGCTTTTTTAGCCACCTTAGCAATCCCTGGTCTTATTCCCTTGTGCTCCCAGGAGATGCACCAAATGCAATTTGAGGTATGGGGGATAGACACTTCAAACTATCAATCAACATATTTACACATTAGCTTCTGATTCAAACACACCCTCGTTACTTAAAAAAGATATTATTCCCTCTCTGCCTTCTTTTATCCTCACAAATAAATGCAGCCCAGCCTCTGTTTCTGCAGGATATTTATCACAGAGGCACATTATTACCCATTGCGCTCTTATGAGCCCACAAGTAGCAGGCTAACTTTAGTCTTGTGTGCTCTTTTAGCTGAACAATCACAAAGTCTTAATTCAATTCTTAAGTACACCCGTCAAGGGATAAATATGGATATAGAGGTGGACTTGGGAAATCCAGCTGTGTTGGCTTGGCTGAAAAATAACCCTGGGATGTGGCTGTGGGTGGGAGAGGTGGGGTTTTTATTCCCTTCCTCGGTGCTTTATTAATATTTCTCTTCCACCATTAGAGATTCAGGTCTCATCTGCTTCTTCTGAGATCATCAAGGGGGGGAAAAAAAAGCCCAGGGTGGTGGAGCTGGAAGGGGTTATATAGGGCGGGTGGTGAGGGGCTGCTGCAGAGCTTGGTGGCACAGGGGAGACGGCTCCTGTCCCGGCACCATGGGCTGGATCCTGCAGACCCTCTGCTTGCTGCTGCTCATCTCCTCCTGCCCCTGCGCCGTTATCACCGGGGTAAGTGCCTCCTCTATCCCCTACCTGGGGGAGTCCTTATTCATTTCGATTATCTTGGGAATGAAGGCAGGAATTGATGCTTTTCAGTGCGTTGGTTTGGGTGCTTGTCCGAAGTTTATTACCTGGTTTTCCAGCACAGGGATGCTGTTCCCACAGCCAGCCCCAGCCCATGTGAGTGTAAAGTCACACCATTGAGCTGCTCTTTCTGCTTCTCAGCGCTGTAGCAGCCCTGCGTGTGGGAAAACAGGGCATTTGAGGAAGTTTTCCAGCAAGGAAAAAGCGCTGTATCTTTACAGGCATCCTCCAGAGCACATTCCCAACTGGGACAAGGGCTCCAGCACCCCAAATTGGCTTTCTCCCTCCTAAATTTAGAGAAGTGGTGATGAGAGGCGAAGTGTGGGGATGCAAAGGAGAGCGGCAGCGCTGTGTTAATGGGCTGCTGGGGCTCAGCATGTCCCACAGCTCAGCGCTGCGGAGCAAGCGCTGGACCGAGGTGATGCCAGAAGCAAGAGGAACGGCGAGTTTTGGGGACAGGATCCAGGCTTTTGTGATCCTTCAGGAGTCCGGATGCTGGTTTCAGCAAACCAGGCTTGGATGAATCCCCCCCTTTTACTCTGGGCAGCAGAAAATCTTCTGTTTAAAACCAAGATGAGCTGTTTGTATCCCAGCTCCTCTCTGCCTCCTGGCTTTTCCCGACTGGTGGGAATTCTGTGGCTGGCTTCGACTGGCTCTTGGCTCCTTTTTGCCCTCACAATCAGACCTCTTTCTTTCAAGCCTGTGATTCTCTTTGGCTGGATCTGCCCAACCTGGAGCTGCGAAGCCAAGGCGGGGGCAACCACCTCCATCCAGGGCCAGGCAGACCTGGGCTGTCATTCCCAGGGCTTATATGGCTCATTTTGAATAACCAGAGAGAAGAGGCTGCATGTGCCTGCAGCCCCTCTCAGCCCCTCTCAGTGCCCCTGGCTTTGCAGGTGAGGGTCCATCATTGCTGAGATTTCATTTTCAATGGTATTTGGTTCTTACAAGGTGGTTCGGATGCTCGAGGAGAATTAAATTCCCTTCAGGAAAGGGCAGCCCCTACAACACCCCCTTATTGCCTCCCTGTGAGAGAGCAGCACCCTAAAATTGTGTTCTTTCCATTGCTGTCATGGGCTTTTCCCCAGTTCCCACAACTCTTTTTCCATATGAGCCATGGACTTGTGGCTGAGAGCTCCTGTGATAGCGGTACCCTAAAACGGAGATGATCCCATTTGGGGTTTGGATGAGCCCCATTGGTTCTTCCTGTGCTACCATAAGGAAAACGGGTTGGAGCAGGGGTTGGGGGTGCAATGAGCTGCTCTTGTGATGGCCAACACAGCCTGGGGAGCAAAATGGGACCTGTTTCTTGCTTGATGTTGCCCCCATCCCCTCTTCTGAACGTCCTCATGGGCTTCCAGATGTGGTGGTGAGCTGGTGCAGCATTTGCATCCGTGCCTCAGTTTCCCCATCCCAGGAGGAGGGGTTTCTGATTCCCATTTCCCACCTGCCTTGGGTGGAAGAGGCTGAGTCATTGGCATTACTCTCTATTAACAAAAAAACCGCCCCCAGAATGGGCATGTGCATTATTTAGCAGGTTTTACAGGCTCAGACAGGTGATGGCTGTACACGATGGACAAGGAGCTTACCCTCAGCACCGCCGCTCTAACTTGGCACCAAGTCTGCTTTTAAGTTGGGCAGCAGCAAACTTCTCCCCTGTGTGTCCCAGCCCCGCACGCACCGGGGGTATCCCCCCTCATTCTGCAAACCCCAGCACCACAACCCCTGCCCTGCCCCGAAACCTCCCCAGCTCAGCCCTCAATGGGACCTGTTGTTCCCCTTCTCCCTTAAATCCCCAGCCGGGGCTTACACCCAGGGGCCGTTTCTCCCCTGGCCCCTTCCAGAAGTGGGAGAGGGATGTTTTCCCAGGAGATTCCACTCACATCATGCCTCTGCCCAGGCCTGCGAGCGGGACCTGCAGTGCGGCAGCGGGACCTGCTGCGCCGTCAGCCTGTGGCTGCGGGGGCTGCGGATGTGCACCCCCCTGGGGCAGGAGGGGGACGAGTGCCACCCCTTCAGTCACAAGGTACCAGCATGGGGATGCTCACTGGGGGCTGGGGTGGGGGATAAGGGCTGGGAAAAGGGGGTTGGGTGGGGTGGGGTGGATTTGGGGTGAAGCACTGGGCAGCATCATCAGGGTCTCTTCATCAGGGAATGTTGCTGCTGCAGTTCCTGCTGCTTGAGCTCCCATGAATGTAGAGACTCCTAGATCCTGCCCCTCTACTCTGCTCTCATGATACCCCACTTGCAGCACTGGGTGCAGTTCTGGTGCCCTCAACATAAGGAGGACGTGGAGCTGTTGGAGCAAGGCCAGAGGAGGCCACGAGGATGCTCAGGGGCTGCAGCACCTCCTGTGTGGAGCCAGGCTGAGAACATTGGGGCTGTTCAGCCTGGGAGAGAGAAGCTGTGTGGAGACCTCAGAGCAGCTTCCAGTGTCTGGAGGGGGCTGCAAGGATGCTGGAGAGGGACTCTTCATCAGGGACTGCAGTGATAGGACAAGGGGTGATGGGTTCAAACTGAAACAGGGGAAGTTCAGGTTGGATCTAAGGCAGAAGCTCTTCCCTGTGAGGGTGCTGAGGCGCTGGCACAGGGTGCCCAGAGAAGCTGTGGCTGCCCCATCCCTGGCAGTGTTCAAGGGCAGGTTGGACACAGGGGCTTGGAGCAAGCTGCTCTATGGAAGGGGTCCCTGCCCGTGGCAGGGGTTGGAGCTGGAGGAGCTTTAAGGTCCCTTCAACCCAAACCATTCTATGGTTCCATGATCATGGTGGTTCCTTACCTCAGACAGCATTCGTAACAGCTGCTGCCTGTACAAACTTCCCTGCTTTCAGTGTTCCACAGTCATTGCCTACATGGCTTTCATAACATCCTGCACCTCTGGTTTTCCTTTCAAGGGGCAGATCTGTGGTCAAAGATTATCCAGACCTAACACACATTGCCTGACCAAAAGTCTGCTAAAGGAGTTCTCAGAACTGATTAGATGTTGGCAAGGTCCTTAAGGAGCAAAGCAAAGAGATGCTTCATAGCAGGACAAGTAGGAACAACAGAGCTGGTTTCAGCCTCTGAAGTATTTTGAGCACCCCCCTGCCTGTCTGTTCCAGCCTTAATCCTCAGGATGCCCCATGGGTGCTGCAGACCTTGACTCAGAGCTGGGACCGAGCTGCCTGGCCCATTCATTTCCATGAAGAGCACCAGCCACGCTGCTCCAAATTGGGTTGTAAAAGCTCTGCCAAGCGTGGCAAAGCCGAGTTAATGCCACAGAGCTGCCCCAGCGCCGTGATTTCTGTCTGATAAGAACCCCCAGCTCACTGGGATTAGCCCCAAGCGCGATGCTGCTGCAATCCCTCATCCATGGGGGTGTAGCAGCAGCAGCCCAGCCTGGCGGGGAGCATCCCTCTCCATGCTCTTGTATTGATTTGGCATGGTGGGAGCCAGATTGAAGGATGCTGAGGCTCCTGCTCACACGAGGAAGGAGCAGCAGGTTTCAGAGGGATCCGAGACTCATCGCAGGCGTGTCCCTATTAAACCTCTGAGAAGAGCCAGAGGTTTTCTTGGGGCTTTGATCCCATTTGATACTGTTCTGACGTCCTCATCTCTCCTGTCTCTCTCCACAGGTCCCTTTCTTTGGGAAGCGCCAGCACCACAGCTGCCCCTGTTCACCCAACCTCATCTGCTCCAGGTTCCTCGACAGCCGCTACCGCTGCTCCGTCAACTTCAAGAACATTGATTTTTAGGGTGATGCTCCTTGTTCTCCATCCGTGAGCCCCCAGCACCCATTTCTTGCCCTCTTCCATCGCCATTGGGTGCCCACATAGTGCCAGGCAACCTTAAAAGTGCTTTTCCAAGGTAGAAAGTGTTGTTATAAACTGTATGTTATATAGGGAAACTGAGGCACGGTCAGGCCAAACTGATGTGGCATGTGGCTCTGCCCCAGCCTTTAGCAGATTCTGACTCCAGCATCCTCTGGGTGGAAGGACAGTGTGTGTGTGCCAAATGTCTGTGGCCCCAGAAACCCCTTTCGTAAGGGATTTGCAACTCCTACTGGATAAATCATTCCTGTAATGATAATTTCTATTGTGATATTGCCCGACCATGTCTTATCCGTGTGTTTCTTCCCTGGAAGCAGCTCTTCAAGGTGGTGATGAATGGTCTAACATAGCCTGCAATTAAAAGGAGCCACACTCAAGTAGCTGTGGGGAATTAAGGACTGGGTTTTCCCAACGTTCCAGCAATGCAGTGTGTTTGGCAGAGGCCGAGGCAGGGTGCCAGGTGTGGGTCTTTGGGGTCTTTTGGCCTCAGCACCTGCCTGTGGCTCAGACACCGTATGAGGACTGGAGGCTTCTCTATGTCAGCTGAATTTGAGAAGGGAATGGGCTACTCAGGTTACCTTCCTAATAAAAGTGATCCCAGACACGTGCTTTCAGTTTCCCCCTGAAATAGATACTGTGAAAAACTTGTGTATCACCACTTGCGCTTCCCTCCTGCTGCTTGGAGCAACCCCTGGCAAGAATAAACGCAAAGAAATAAATAAGAATCATCAGCATTTACAGCTGATTCCCAAAAAAATCCCGCAAAACATCCCAATCAGTTTCCTTTTAAGCAATGCTTGAACACAAAACTTCATCTGGGGCTTTGAATATGCTCAATGCTAGCTCTGGAAAGCCCTTGGGGTTTGGTGCTGGGAGCTGTGGCTCTCCTCTCTGGGCCTTCCTTGTTTGGTGGGTTTGGGTGGATTTTGGTTGTAGAGCAGCAACGGTTTCTATTTCTAAAGACCCCAAAGACCCCCAAATGCATGCGTGTGGCAGACGCTGGGTTTTCATGGGGAGTGAAGTAACTGAGATTTGGTGTTTGATGCTGGGTGAAAGCTGTCCTGCCCTTGTTTCTCCCTCCGGGAATACTGCACATTTGGTGACAATAAACCACTGCAACGACCAGATTCATCCTATCTGGGTGGTTTTTTACACAGCAGAAGTTTTGCTTCTTCCTTGCAAAAGAAGAACCCTGCAGTGGGGATGCTGCAGCTGCCCCTGCCTGTTGCTCAGCACTGGGACCATGGTAGAAGTGTCTGGGGGACACCCCGGATTGCTGGATAGAAAGGGGTTCACCACAGCAATATGGGGGGAAGAAGTCAAGAAAATCATGGAATCCCAGAGTGGTTTGTGTTGAGGGGACCTTAAAGCTCCTCCAGCTCCAACCCCTGCCACAGGCAGGGACCCCTTCCATAGAGCAGCTTGCTCCAAGCCCCTGTGTCCAACCTGCCCTTGAACACTGCCAGAAAAGCACTATATTTCATAACAATGTTAAAAAAAATCTATAGTTTCATGGTTTGGGTTTCTTTGATTAAGCTGATTCCTTTGTGCCCTCGCATCATGAGGCTTTTACACATCCACAGCTGTGTATGTGTGGAAGTGATGTCTCATTTCAGTTTCCATAGTTTAGAACAATCCGGTCACACTTAGTTGTTTCTCCAGAAAGAATCTCTATTAAATGCCCCTTTCCCAGTAATGAACCACTCTGTGTTATGAGATGGCCTGGAAACAACAGCTAATCCCCACTTATGGTCTTTGCTGCTATGCAAAACAACAGCCAAAACCTGATTTATTTATCTGATGTTCATTTTCCCCCACGATGCTCAGGGTGGTTCCTTCTCTAATTTGGTTTCATTGCTTTGATGCAGGAGATTGACAAGGAAATTACCTCCATCCATGGAAAACCCTATTAAAAACTGAGTTTGGTTCTTTCCTCCTCTGCAGCTGCAATGAACACGCTCAGCAGGTGACAAGGAGAGAGATCCAAGAGTCCAATAGTCCTTGCTGCTGCTTCATTTCTCCTGTGCTGAGGGCTAAGGGGCTGTTTGCATTCGTTATTCCCATCACTGATGGGGATGGGAGATTGCTTACCTGATGTGGATGGGATGCAGAGGGAGCGATCCAGAGGTCACATAGCACTGCTGGAGGGTGGGAATCCCTCATGGCCAAGCACAAGAGGGACCCAAGCCTGGATTTTTACCTCAGCTCCATCATAGGAATTTTCTCATTGTTATGAGCAAGAAAAATGAGCCTGGTGCAGAGGGAACTGTGGGTCTGAGGGTCAGCAACACATGGAGCAGCCCCTGCCAGGATGGACAAGACACAGCAGGAGCACCGGCGGGCTGTAGCTGTCCTATCGATGAGTGGAATGGGAGAGGGAAGCCGTGTCCTTATTCCAGGCAGGACCAACAGCCCAAATGCTGTTGGGAGGCAGTTCCTACACCCTCCTGGCATGCCTATTCTGCACTGGTGCCAAGAGGCCCTGGCAAATGCCATCCTGCAATGGGCTTCCTGCATGAGAGCATCCCCCATGGCCAAAGCATCCCTGCCCACATCTGCGTTTACACATGCAATAAAGAAACAAACCAGCTAAAAGCTTCCAAGCAGGAATTAGAGAGGGGCAAACACGTATTGGGGCTGGCTACATGCCGGGAAAAGTCTATCCTGGAGTGCCATCTCGTGGCTGCGGTGCCAACACTGTGCTCCTGTACATTGAGGAAGCGCAGGAATAGCAGCCTGGTGGCAAAAGGATGCTCCAGGGCTTGCTTGGAGATAGCGGCTCTAAGGAGGAGGGAGACGCTTCTAAGTGACAAATACTTCACATGTGACCAGAGTCCAACGTGCTCCAGGGATAAAAAGCAGCCAGGGCATCATCCTGATAAAGCAAAGAGGGTTTCTTTTGTCTTCTTTTCTTCTTTTTCTATGGCAGCACAGAATTTCAAGTGGGAATTCAGGCTGTGCGTGTGCTGGATGACATGACAGATTGGCTCATTAGGGCTTGACTCAAGAATAGCACAGTTACTAAGAGATTTCTATGGATTTCATTGAGCTTTGGGCCTCTATTTAGGAAGGTGCTAAGCTGCAAATTGTGTGGGATAATGGATTTTCTGGCAGGTTTTCGTCAAGCACCAGCTGAGTGTTGGCACTGGGTATTCATAGCCTGGTTTTCCTCCTCTTCACTTTAGGATGAACTAGAAACAAGCTATTGTGGCTGGAGAATTTTAATGCCTGACCCTGAGAGGATCCCCCTCAGACCTGGCCTCCTGCAGCGGACAGTGTGAGCCAGACTGCTGGGGAAGCAGCTGCACTGGAGTTCTGGAGCTCTTGAATGTCCCAAGTCTCAACCCAGCTCCATGATTTCCAGCATGGAGCAGCACAAAGCCAAGGACAAAAAGCTGAGTCCAAATAAACAGGATTTTCTGCATGCCAGACTTCGAAGCATCTATTCTTTTATTTGAGAATAAAGTTTACAAGTTAATGAGAATCAGGTTGTCCGTCCATCCATCCATCCATCCATCCATCCATCCATCCATCCATCCATCCATCCATCCATCCATTCCAGTCCCTGTTTGCTAGGGGAGCAGAAGCAGTAAAGATGAGCTCATTGCTGACCAGGATGAGCTCTAAAAAATATCAAAGAAGGAGGAAAAGGAGAAAACCTGCTGTGAAATAGAAACAATGACATGGCAGAGCTGCTAGAGGGGATTGAGGGATGAATGGAGAGGAGCTGAATGTCTCAGGGTGCTGCTCTCCCAGATGTGCGTCCTCCAGCTGTCCCCACAGATGGTAACTTGAAAACGATGGCACTGAGATGAAACAGCTCTCACAGCTCCTGCTCCTGGCTGGGATGACTCTGTGGGGTTTGTAAGGTGAGGAAGAGGATGGTGGAAGGATGGGGAAAAGCTCAGGTCAAAAGGGGGATTTGTCTCCTGAAGTTGTGCTGGTCATGACCCAGATCCATCTCTCTGGGGTGCAAAAGACCTCGCCGCAGAAAGCCAGCCCACAAAAAAACCCAACCGAACCCCCAAATAACAACCCTCCCAGCCCAGGATTGCAGGATTTCTGCATGGGGAAAAATCCCAGCGAGCCCAAAGTCATGTTTTCCAACAGAGCAGGAATAAACCCCAAATATAAACCCCATCTTTCACCACTCCATTCTGAATGAAACCGCAAAGCAGAGATGCTGGCACATTGTGTAACGATCATATTGAATCTTTAGGAGATGAGACATCAAGTATAACAGATGTGGGATAGAAAAGCGGATGTGTAGACACTGCTTGAGAAACTGTGATTTTAATGTAGGCAGAAACATCAGCAAAAGCCAAGCGAAACAGCGAAGCTGGAACAAAATGTTTTCGGAAGGAAACCTGCTGGCATTAGAGGGAACGGCAAAATGATGTGGTGCTGGTTTCTCCCTTCCGAAGTGCTGATGGAAATGTGCAGGGTGCAGAGAACCACAAGTGCCTTTTCACGGTGGGAAGCTGAGCCGTTGGGATACCTCAGCCCTCATTGCTCTGTGCCCCACTGGCAGCAATGTAAGTGACAATCAAAGCCACGAGGGCTTTGTGCACCAGCTAACCCCTGAGTTTGTTGCAGGACCTGGCAGTGTTCAAGATCAGGTTGGACGAGGCCTTGGGTGATATGTTTTAGTGTGAGGTGTCCCTGCCCATGGCAGGGGGCTTGGAACTGGATGAGCTTAAGGTCCTTTCCAACCCAAACCAGTCTATGATTCTATGAGAAATCCCCTTCCCTCTCTCAAAACTCAGTTTTCCCTCAGAAATCCTATTGAGCCGTGGTGTCCCGGACCTTCCTTGGTGGCTGTGCCACCATGACTGGTCACCATCCCTCTCCTCCTAATCCCCTCACCTGGTTGCTTGTCTCCATCCATCACTGCTGTGCCAACAGGATGATGTAGGCAGGAAGACAAAGAAACAAATACAACTTGTAATTTATTCTATTCACCAGCTAGTTTTTCAGCCAGATCATTCCCAAGTGTGGGAATTGGTCAGACCCCCCCCCAGATTCTAAGTGATGGGAGGGGAGAAACTATATTAAAGGGATTAAAATAGCAGGGAGCTGGACCCACCTTCATCCAGCTGGGTGCCACCAAGCATTTAATGTCGTTTTGCCCTTATTCCTCCTCTGATAAATGGGGGAATTCTCTGTAGATGGGGAGCTGCACTCTGAAGCTATGGACAGAGAAGGTAAGAGCGGATGAGCATCAAATTAACAAAAACCAGACTGATGGGCAGGGCAGAGAGATAAGAAAGATGGTGTTTATTTGAACAGCCACAGGAAATCAGAGATTGAAAAATGCCTAGAGAAAAAAAAATAGAAGAAAATAAGCAGCAGCACGTTTGGTTTTAAAAAAGAAAGAAATCACAGCATGCAGATGGGTTATTCCTTACCCAGCCAATCCCACCACACAGAGCCCAGTCCCATCATGGCCTCAAGCATCATTTTTTGGCCTTGTCTCGAGGGTAACCCCCATTGGTCTTATTGAGGGACTCCATGCTGCCGTTGCCCGTCACCACGCTGGTGAGGATTCGCTCCACCTCCCCGGGCAGGATTTGCTTCTCTTCGTTCTCCGTCTCCCTGTGGTAGAAATAGTTGAAGTTCGAGACGATGACAGGGACGGGCAGTGCAATGGTCAATACCCCTGCAATGGCGCACAGAGTCCCCACGATCTTCCCACCCAAGGTGGTGGGACACATGTCTCCATAGCCAACAGTTGTCATTGTGACCACGGCCCACCAGAAGCCATCAGGGATGCTGGAGAAGTGGGACTGTGGTTCATCCACTTCTGCGAAGTAAACGGCGCTGGAGAAGAGGATGACGCCGATGAAGAGGAAGAAGATGAGCAAGCCCAGCTCCCGCATGCTGGCCTTGAGGGTCTGCCCCAGGATCTGCAGCCCCTTGGAGTGCCGGGACAGCTTGAAGATACGGAAGACCCTGACCAGCCGGATGATCCGCAGGATGGCCAAGGACATGTTCTGCTGCCCGTTGAGCTCGCTCTGCTGGATCAGCTCAGTGGTGAGCGTCACGAAGTAGGGAATGATGGACACGATGTCGATGATGTTCATGATGTTCCTAAAGAACTCGGTCTTGCTGGGGCACACGATGAACCGGACAAAGAGCTCGAAGGAGAACCAGATGATGCAGGCAGTCTCTATGACGAAGAAAGGGTCTGTGAAGGTACTGTGGGCCAGCAAGGTGTCCGTCAGATTCTTGGAAAGCTCCTGGGTGGACTTAAACTCCCTTTCCTCCCTGAACTCCGGCAAGGTCTCCATGCAGAAGATGATGATGGAGATGACAATGACCAGGACGGAGACCAAAGCAACACCCCTGGCTGCACTGGAGCTCTCAGGGTATTCAAAGAGCAGCCAAAATTGCCTATGAAAGTCATTGGTTGGTAAGAGGGTCTCAGGGTCTTTGATGAACCCTTCATCCTCCCTGAACTGGTCCATGGCTTCATCACCCAGCTCGTAGAAGGTGATTTCATCAGCAAAGACATCAATGGGGACGTTGGCAGGGCGCCGTATTTTCCCACCAGACTGGTAGTAGTACAGGATCCCATCAAAACTGGGCCTGTTCCGATCAAAGAAATACTCATTCCTCATGGAGTCGAAGTAACGCATCCTCTTTTCCGGGTCCCCGAGCAAGGTCTCAGGGAACTGGTTGAGGGTCTTGAGCCGCGTCTCAAACCTCAGCCCCGCGATGTTAATGATGACTCGTTGGTCCCCCTCATCCATACCCACCCTCTCCCCCACCAGATGCTCACTGAACTCGGCGGAGAACCTGGAGAAGATGGTCTCATTGTTGGCGTTTTCGCTGTTGATGAGGATGCGCAGGTTGGAGAGGAGGTTGGCGCAGCTGGAGTGGCCTTTCCGCGCCTGGCTGGCGGGGCTGAGGTCGTTTGAATAACAGGGATCCTCCACAATCTGATCAGCGTTGTCAAAACTGACTAGTGCCACCTCCATCTCCTTCCAACTGGACACGTCCATCATACACTAATCAGATTAGCAGCATAAATCCCCGGATCGGATGCCGGCAGCTTGCGTCTTTCCCACGCTATGAGGATCTGCAAGTGAACGGACAGGGAGACAGAGCTGAATTGGGCAGATGCATCACTTGGCTCAGCTAAAAGGAACAAACCAACCCTGAGATCAGAAAACCTTGTTTCTTAATGGAAATGTGTGTTTCATTGACTGCCAAAAGCGAGTTGTTCACCTCTGGATCCTTCAAGCCCCTTTTGGCATGGCTTCATTATCATCATGAAGCCTCCCAATACCATGTACACCACCCAAGGGTAAAAAGTCAGGCAGTAGCAGAGGCTGGGGGTGAACCCAGGTGTCCCACCCAGCCTTTCCCCAGCAATCCCAGCCCTGCAAAGCAAGGGGTCATTTCAGACGGGTCCAGTTGTGGATCCAGAGCTTGGAGCAGGATTTGGAGGTGTTAAACACGGGAGTTCTGGTTAGCAGCAGCCTTGCTGCAGCTGGGAGAGGCACTGAGTCAAACCCCAGGAGGTCCTTGATGTGTTGCAGCTGGGTCAACCGGCGTTCAGAAAGCAATTCCCAAACTAGGAGCCACAGTGGGATATGGGGAGGCAGGCAGGTCAGGAGGTGAAGGACATGTCCACCAGCCTTGCAGAACCCCTTTGATCTGTGTGAAGAGGGGTAAGAACACCATGTCTTGATCCAGACTTCGACTTTGCAGAGGATGGGGTGATGTCCTCCAGAGCCCTGTGCCTCCTGCATGGTAGACCTGATATTCCCAGCCACAGGAAGGAGATGAGGACTAAATGCTCAGGTCCCTTGGAGAGCATCTTTCGGGCCGCAGGGTGGATTTTTAACCAGACCAGCTCCATCAGCAACAGACACCATGTCCCCAAATACTCCTGGGCACACGGCTCCCCGTCATGCTGCTGCTGTTGTACTGAACTTGAAGGCAAAGTCAAAGAAGAGCCCAGGGACCAGGCCAAGTTACAGAGCTGGGAAATTACCTTTCCTGCCTCAGGGAGAAGCATGAAGAGAAATTAGGTGTTAATGGGGAACGGTTCTGGGGAGAATTGACCAAAAATGCACTTTCCAAGTGAATCCGAGCCCCTGATTTATTTCCTTTCCAGCTCTTTTTCCCCAGAAATATCTTTTCCAGGCAGGAGAACCCCCAGAAGGACCCCCAGAGCTGCTCTGTGTGACCGCTCACCACCAAGGGCACCCTGGCTTTCTTCCCCTGCCAAGTTCAGGGACTGGGAATGAAAAAACCCAAATGCCCAAGAATAGCAACGCAATTTAGGCCACGTCTGCAAGGAGCAGCAGTGGTGCTGGGGCCGGTCCTGCGGTGAGGATGCTCCTTCCCCTTTCCCCAGAAGCAGACTCATGTTTCCTTGCTGGTGCACTGCAGGTGGGGTTGGGTAGGACAAGCTAGAAACCCGAATCTGCTGCAGAAGTAGGTGGTGACATCCTGGCTTGCTACAAATCCTCCCTCTTGTGCACTCAGCATTACAACCCCAAAAGCAAAACTTCATACAGCAGTCAGGACCCACATCCCAGACAAGGGCTCAACGTTACTCTTTCCTTAGCAGAGTCATGAAATTCTGGATTTGGGGACAAATCCCACAATTTATCATAAGCTACTTAAAGGTCACATTTCTTTGCTTAGAATAAAACCACGGAGCATGGTTGTTCTTAGGCATCCGTCCCTATAGAGCTGCTTCTGGCTGGTTTTGTGACAATTTTCCTACTTGGACACATGTAGAGAGGAGCATTTGGGACAACAGAGCAGAAATGAAGCCTGGAGGAAGCCGAGGCAGAGTGGGTTTGCCCCCCAAAGGAACCTTCTGCAAAGCTGAGGAGCCCAAATGACTCTGAGACCAAGTCCTCCAGCCCCAGTGATGCCCCCTCAGGGATGCCCACAGTGCAGCAGCTCTCCATGAAGCTGGGTTCAGCTCAGGCTTGACTTTTCTCTGTTGAGAAGTTGTTGCGGGCAGGATGAGATCATCAGAACAGTGCTGGGTGCAGAAAGTGCACCACAACCTTGGCAGGGAGACAGCAACCAAGAGCTGCAGATAAGCCATGTTTCAGCCCCAGTGTAGCATCAGGAGGCAGGCAAAGAATACTCGGGTAAAACGAGCCCAGACAAAGCTCTTTTGAGGGGAAAAACAAGCATTAAAGGAAAAAAGGAAAAGCAGCACGTACAGAATCACAGAATCATATCCTTCCCTTCTCGTGTTCGTAGTTTTAATATAAAATCCCAGAGATGATGCTTAAATCAGAAAAAAAAAATCCCATAAAGAAAAATAGGTTTGAATGAGGAGAATGGGAGTGCTTAGTGTTGAGCTGGTGGGTGAGGTGACCTGTCCCACCACACAGCTCACCACACTCTGTCCTGATGGGACAACCCGAGGGGACCACGTGCCCCGGAGCTTCTCTCCACAGCAAAGCGAAGTTAGAGCAGCTAAAGCTGACCATGATACCACATCCTAAGGCAGCGCCGTGGGATGATCTTGGTACTTTGAGCATTAAATGTGCTTAACTCTTAATACAGCCCACTGGCCCCGCGGGCAAGAGAAGTTCCCAGCGCTTGCTTGGTGGGAGGAGGCTTTTGGTCACAGAAGAACTTGTGTTTATCTTGAAATGTGGCTTAGCTCTGGAGCCTCCGTGCACATCAAAGTGAGCCCCCCCAGCACCATCCCTAGTGAGGAAACTGAGGCACAGAGCTACGAGGGGACAATTTGCATGTCCTGGACAGGGTTGAGAGTGTAAAGTTGTGCTCACCCCCCTGCTGGGATGCAGGGAGGTGCTTTTTAGCTCTGTTTCAAGCTGCCCAAGGGATGCAGGGCAATGATCTGCATTTCCTTGCCTTCAAAGCCCCAAACCATGCTGATACCTGCCTGTCCCCTTCACCAGAAGCAGGTGCCCCACCTGCCCCCAAGCCCCCAGACCACCCTTTCTGTCTCATTTTTACTTCAGACCAGTATTAACGGTGCTGCCTGAAGTCAAAAAACACCCTCCCAGTGCTTTGCAATGCGAGCTCCAGGGTCTGACAGAGGCTTGAACCAGAAAGTTGCCTCGTTTCCTCCTAAATCACCTAACATCTGCTTCCCAGAATCTGATTAACTAATACCCTTCAGCTGAAATCCCTGCCTGGGGAAAACAATGTACAAAACGCATCTGAGACAGGGAGAGAGCGAAAGAGAAAGGTCGTTTTGAGGGAGAGCTGGTGTTTTGCCCGCCGCATCCCAAGTAAATCGGGGCTCTGGTTCCCACCAACCCCTATGCAACCATCACATCCTCAGTGTCTGCAGTTCCCTTTTGCTTGCCACCCATCATCCCTTCAGCCCCACGCTCCTGGGGTGAACAATGGCCATTTCCAAGGTTATTCCAGAAAATGGGAGATGCTGAGCATCTCTTCCACCCCATCTCCTCCCCATCACCTCCGTACTGGGATGGGAACAGAGGTGATTCCTCCTGTAGCCCTCCCACAGCATCACCTATGGGGACTTACCCGCACAAGGCATGGAAGTGCCACCGCTCTCTGCATCTGGGAAGAGAGTTATTAAACACACATAGGGATGTGTAGGAAAAGCGGAGATGGAAAAAAAAAAGTCCAGGCATACCCTTGAAAGGTCCCTTTGGGATAACGCAAGCAATGTCATTTAAAAGGCTCTTCTCTATTTGATTCAGTGTATAATTGGCAGTCCAGCACGACAGGGATGAGCTTTGGCAGGCACGGAGGCAGGATCCAGAGTGGTTCGGAGCCTCGGCCCCACCATCGCCCTGGGAGCCCTAAAACAAGCGGGGGATCCATTGGGAAAGGGGACGGGTGGGGTGCAGGGGACACCCTATCCCCATGCCCTGCTTGCCCAGGGAGGGGGAACCCGGCCACCCACCGCCCGCCCCCGTCCGCTCGCCCCTGAGCGAGATGGGGAGGACGTGTCCTTCTGGCGGATGCCACCTTTAATCCCCAGTAATGCTCCGGATGGTCCAGAGGGGACACGTCTTGTCCGTGACGTGGCGAGGTCTGAGCCGGTCCCCAGGAGGGAGGTGGAGAGGGGGGACAGGGACCCGCACAGCACGGGCACCGGGGGAGAGATTTACAGCAGGATATAGAGCCCTGTTTGTTATTAATATAGAACAATGATGTTAAAAAGAGGAGGGGAGGGGAAAGCCCAAGGGTTGGAGCATCCCCCGTTGCCCACCTACCTCCTGCCTGTGGCCATGGGTACAGCGGGCTCACTTCCAGGAGGGGACGGTCCCGGTGCCTCCGCCACGTGGGACATCTCCGTCCCACCCCTGCGTGAGGGGACCGGCTGCAGCAGCAGGTCCAGGCAGCATTAGCGGGGGACAAGGGACAAGGAAGGGAGGAGAATGCCCCTTCCTCATGCCTGGCTGCCGGCCGGCCTCTGGCTCAGAGCGCAGGGCTGCCGGGCTTATATCCTCCAGGAATAAACAGGCACAGAGATGCCCTGGGTGGATGGGACCGGGCAGGTCGCTGGAATAACTGGGAATCATTTTCATTTCATTTCCCCATTTTCAGTTTCTCTCCTTCCCGAAGCTTGCTGCCCTCACAGGCAGCCTCACCTTGGCTGCTTTAATTCCACTTGGGAACTGGGTTTCACCCTCTGCCTTCACCCAGGTTACCCTCCTATCCTCTTCCTCCTCCTCCATCTCTTCCTTCCAGGCGTCCGCGTTTGGCGAAGGCAAAGGAGGAGATGGCACATTTCTACCTGCGTGCTTCAGCCTGAATTCCTCCACGGTGACGCTCCTTTGCTCTTGAGGGACCTGATCACCTCAATTTCCCTCCCTCCAGCATCCTTTGCTGTCCTCTGAGCTATTTCTCCCCCTGCGATGTTAATGAGCACATTAAACAGCCCTATCCTGGAGGACAGCCTTGGAGCTGCCAGCTTGGAGTATCTTATACTCATCTCCAGCCATCTGCGATGGAAAGGGGACACAACAGTATCCAGACCTTTGATGAGGCCCTTCAGGGCTGGTTTATCATTTCATGTACCCCCTTCTGCACCCCTGTGTACTACAGCCCTTAGATTTAGCCGTTCTAGTGAGCAGCTGGAGAGCTGCTAACAAAAGGGCATTAAACTGATATTCCTGGCACCTAAATTCAGCCTGTGCCCAGCTCACCTCCAAACCCAGGCTGGGAGGGTTTTGACCACAGGGTGATGGTGTCTGTAGGCAAAACCTGACCTCTTTTGGGTCTGTCCGCCCCAGCTCTCCCTGGCACTAACCAGGATCAGATCCTGCACCCTGGCAAAGAGCATCCATGGCTGAGGGAAACGTGGAGCGTGAAAACCATCCACAGGAGCTGATGGTCAGGGCTGAGAAGTGAGCTTAGCTGAAACATGCTGTTAATAGGAATATCCCTGAAGTCAAAGCAGGGTTTGTGGTCCAGGGGAGACAGGTACAGGGGGAGATGCCCGGAATAACATCATTGCCTCCAAGAAACAGGGCAGTTACACAACTCCCTCATCCCTGGAGGTTTTGGCTACACCCTGGACACCCTTGGGAAGGTTTTGCCTTTAACCAAGGTGACTTTAACACCCTTTTGCCTCAAGGATTTGAATACCCCCCCCCCCCCCAAGCAGGGCTGCCCTGGGCTCTCCTGCATTTCTTTCCCTCTAATCCTCTGCTCTGTGCTCCTGGCTCTGCCGGGATTTACCCAACAGACAAATTTGACCCCTGAGGGTGTCCCGCATCCAGGATGGACCGGCTTCCAGTAAGTGCTGGTATGGGATCGCTGCCTCCACACTCACTGCTGCTGGAGGGGAGACAAAGGCACCGCGCAGCCTGCCCTGCTGCAAGAAGAAGGGGGTTTTATTTGCAGCAAGTCCCTAAATTACTGCTTGGACCCGTGTTTGCACAGGGAGCTTAATTTTCCCAGTGGGGAATAGGGCAGAGAACACCCCTTTCTCCTATGATCTGACCTGGGAGGAACTGGAGCAGGGTGGGAAGAAGGAGATGACAAAAGAGGGGTGTAGACCCCATCACTGCTCCCATGGAACAAGGCAACGGCACTGGGCTGGATTTTTCCCTCATTCTCAGTCCAAATGATGCTCCCAGCGACTGCAGCGTGTGGGTTCTGCTCTGCACCAGGCACGTACTTCGCTCCACAGAGCAATTTACTGCAGTAATGAGCCCCTGCTCGTTTTCCTCTTAGCAGAACTCATTAGCTGGGGTTCAGCATTGAGATCACCTACGTGGCTCTTGAATGGAGCTGGGCAGGGACCATTCCCGGAAGGAAAACAGGGAGTTTCTTGGTTTGCTGCTAGGGAAGATCCTGCCGAAGTTTATGGCTTGGGAGAGATGGCTGCAAAATGAGTTCTGTAAACTCAAGGCAAACGTGTGCAGCTGTGAGGGAATAAGCAGGAGGGGAGATGCTGGGAGTTTATGAATGATAAAATCATGGAAAGAATGATTCAAACCTCTGAGGGGATGAGGGGGTCTGGTAAAAGCTGCCCCTGCTTTCAAGTCCTCAGTGTGGGAAATGGAAGAGGCCAGAATACACTGCAGTGGCACAGGGGCACAGAGTGAGCCCCATAGCACCAAAGAAGCCCAGAGCTCAGGAGCAGCCTGGTCTGAGCCCCCTCTACGAGACCTTTGCTATCAAAAGGAAAGGTTAAAGTGTGTCTTTAGGCAATGGGGGAGCAGGATGAGCCCCAGCATTGAAACCTGCAAATCGTACCAGCAAAGATAGGATGAGCCTGAACCAACTCCTGTGAGCTACCTCCATCTCTGTGCCTCAGTTTCCCCAGGGCTGGTGATGTTCTGTACACCCAAGCAGGAGCCCTGCAGGAAAAAGATGCACAGGAGGAAGATCCCAAACTAGATTCCTGGTGCTGGGATGGGGCAGGTCCCTTGCTGCTGACCCCCATGACAGGCAGAGGATCATGTCCAGCCGGACCCCTTTAATCCTCCCCACTTTCCATACTTCATTCTGCTTTTTCCACCCATATTTCTTTATATTGAAAGAAATCAGATTAACAGAGAGCCCGGTACATGCAGTACGCACCGTGAGACAGATGAAACCTTTCTGATACCCAGCCGTAGAGCCCCAAATTAATCAGCTATGGATTAACCGGTCAGAATGTAATTTAATAACGAGTGAGGGTGAATTCCTGCTGGGAGGGAGCCGGCGTGGTCCCACACCGGGAGCACCATCAAAGCTGCTGCAGCTCGACACAAGTAGCAGGGAAAGCCAGATGGGGTGGAACGAGCTCTGCAAAGGGAGCTGGTGAGAGCCTGGGTCCAAGCCAGGCTTTGCTGCAGCTGAGCCCTCCTCATCTTCCCGGTGCTCGGAGGTGCGGTTTTAGCCTGATTCAGGAGAAGGTTTAAACGGGGTTTTGACTATAGGGGGCTGGGGTGGCTGTGGGGATGCTGAGTGGGTGTTTTAGAGGCTGGAGGTCTGCTCTCCACTGGGATTCACAAAGTAATCGTAGCTGCAAAGTGTTTGACACGCTTTAGGATGGAGAGATGGACACAAAGCACTTCTGAAGTGCTTTGATTAGCCTGTGCCAGAAGAGATGAAGGGAAGTGCATGGAGTGACCTCTTTACCCACCGAGCATCCCGGCTCCACCCGGGCGCCGGGATGGGGATGGGGAGGCAGCCATCCTCCCTGCTCTCACCCTCCTGCTTACCGTGGCTGTAACGCGATAAAGACAATTCGATCCCGGATCGATGGGAAACTTTCCCGCTTTCCCAGGCTGTCCGAAAGCGCTGGGATAGAGGCAGAGCCTGACCCAGAGCTCAGCGCTGTAACCTCAGTCTGCTCCTAGAGACAAAGAAATGACTTTGTCCCCCCTTCAAAATCCGCACTGGCAGCAAACCCTGTGAGGAGGTTGTTGGCCAGAGCCAAAAATGGGTATAGGTATAAATGGAAAGCAATAGGAAGCCACTAATCGGGTCAGATGGATACCTGCATTGATCCCAATTTCTGCAACAGCAGCAGCTACGAAGAGCTGGTGGCAGGTTTGGGGTCCCGGTGTCACACAGGGCTGGTGGGACTGTGTGTGGAGCCACTGCAGAGATCAGGGCATTCTCCCAACCCACCACCCCACCATCCCGTCCAGAGCCGGCAGCAAAAGCTGCTTAAGACTGAAAGTGATGGGGATGATGCCAGTGGGACCCTCCTGGCAAAGCCGGGTTCCTCACAGCTCGCACCCAGCGATTGGGAGCCCTTCACCTTCCCTTTTCCTCCAAGGATAAACTAAACTTCTCCTATGGTCACCATCACCCATAAAATACCCCATGAAAAAGGAGAGCAGCACCCAACTGCCCCCGACCTCCCCACCAAACCCTCCTCTCCTCCACCCCCAGCTTCACCCTGCTACAAAGAAGAAGGGAGCAACAAACCCAGCTTTTGCATCATCCTCATCCTCCTCCAGTGCATGGGGTTCCTGGTCCCCCTGTCTCCATCCTCCTCCTCCTTCAGCTCTGCTGGCCAGGAGCTGCCCGGTGGTGCTGCCCCTTTGCCTCTCGCGGGCGCATGGCACCGGGATGCTCGTCCCTCTCCTGCGCTGGGTGGAAAGGCGATGCCAGTACCCACGTGAGCCCAGTGGGACTCCTTGTCCTCATTCTCCTTGTGCCTGAAATGGGTTTTTGCTCCCTCGCTGGGTCCTTTCCACCAGCAGCAGCCGCATCCAGGACCCCAATCCACCACTTTCATGTCTGCAAATACAAGCACCGCCTTTGCTTTCTGTGTGAGGGTGAGGAAGGAGAGGCCTGGCGTGGAGGAAGAGGAGGTGATGCTCAGAAGTGACCCTTTTTGTCCTCTCCCTGCAGAGCTGCTCACTGGGGTGCTCTGCCAAATGCAGCCAGGACAGTGCTGGTTTCACAGGGACCCTCTTCATTTGCACCCACTTGAAAGGGGATTGAAGCAGGAAAAACAGGACCCTCCAGTGCTCTCACCACCAGCACTGAAGTACCACATGGGTGGACGCACCCAGGGCTCTTCCAGCCATGGATCCCTTTGCCTGGGCACTTCCTTGGCTGCTGCCAACATCTGGGCCTGACTTTGCCCCAGTGCAAGGGGAAATCTCTTCCTGGGAGCCTGTGATTGCCGTTAAGGAAGCTCCCAAACTGCCGAAGCTTTGGGAGCAGGAGCTGCCCCCCTGTGTGCTTTTTCCATCCCATTTTTATATGGGCAGGGGTGCCTGTTCCTCCGTGAACCTCTTCACGGGGGTCACACCTTGCCCATACAACCCTGGCCAATACAGCCAGGAGCAGCCCCGGTCAGGGACAGAGCAGAGGTTGCTGGATTCAGCCATAGCCTCTCACGTAGTCCAGGAGCCATCAGGGTTGTTAGCATCACATTCAGTGAAGGCATCTCAGCTGCCTTTGCAAGCCCCTGCCCACTTCGCCAGCAGGATTTGATGAAACTGCAGCTATTTCCCTTTCCATCTCTTTCCCCAGCCCCTGCAGAGGTCATTGCCTTCCTTCCCTGCCCAAAAACTTCACAAGCAAAGGCAAAACCAAGAGCATCACTCTAGAAAGGCACTTAGCACACAGGAATGGGGTGGGTACCAGCCGTGGCTTATTTTGACTGACCTCCAAAAGGTGTCCCTTGCCCTCACCTGCATCCCAAATCCTCCTGCCAGCAGCTTGGGATGCTGAGCCTTTCCCTCAAGCTTTATTCCACCTTGTGTAATTGGGGCAGGCTTCCACGCTGTGCTGTTGAATTGGGAAAGGAAAAGAAACGGAGATCAGCCTGTGCTGAGCCCTTTCAGCAGCATCCCGGCAGTGGGGATGTGCAAAGTCAGGGTCTCCCAGAGGTGCAGCTCAAGAAGAACCCCAAAGAATTGCAAAGAAAACAATACCCTGGAAAATCTCCCCCAGGCTGAAGGGAAAAGCAGAGCTCAAAGCTCAGCCAAAACAAAAACCTGCCCCTTGGGGTCACCTTCCCCTGGCAGCCCCAAGCTCCTCATGGGAATTTGGAGCTGATTTTGCCTTGGAGCAATTTTCCAATCTCCTTCCCATGACCTCTGAAAATGTATATGGCCGAACCCCACAGCAGCCAAGCCCTGGGGGGTGCAGGGCTGCCCAATGATGGGGTGTCCCAGTCCCCCCTCTGCACCCAGGGCAGCACTGAAGTGACCATGGCAAAGCTTTGGCTTTCCCAGCTGCATGCCCAGAGCTGAATCTCATCTTGGGAATACAGTGGGAAAGCATTCATGGGGCACAAAAGCACGATCTTGGCTGTAAAGACTGCAGCTTGAAGCCACTTTGGGGTTGGAGGAGATGCAAAGGAAACAGCTCAGCTGAGGAAGCCAAATTGCACAGCTCTGGGAATCGGCAAAACAATCATTTTTTCCCTGATAAAAATCAGGTTTTGTTTGGATGAGGCTTTGCTTGCATGGAAATTGGTACAGTCCCTATAGAGGTTGCTTCTCTCTGGGACCATGACTCTCATCACACATCAAACTACTCTTAGGAATTTAAGGAGTAACCCCGGGGTGATGCTTGCTTGAACCCAAACCCTCTGCTAACCAAGGCAAGGTTCTTTGGGCTCTCCCATGTCCTTCCGGTCAACCTCTACTCCCAGTGACTGGTTCTTCATGGGCTGCTTCATTAGTACTTGGAGGACAAAATGTCTGTTAGTGCGAGAGCTGCAGTGAGCCAGCATCGGGACCAGCTCCGTCTGTGCTCCTGCACCAACCCACAAGACCAGGGCAGACGAACTAAACCAGGCTCTCGAAAATCATGTTATTCTTCACCACTAAATGCAAACTGTGGTGAAGCCACTGGATCTAGAAGCTGTTCTGGCCCTGTATTCCCAATAACCCTCCCCACACCCTTCTCTTCATCACTGGGGTGAGCGCTGCGCAGCTTTGCGCAGTGGGGAATCCCACACTCAGTCCCTTGGGATCACCTAAAACGTCCCTTTTCTTTCCAGGCAAGAACAAGCCAACTTAAAAAGAAAGATCCCATTAACTATTATCATTGCAGCCTGAACCTGATGTCATTCCCTTGCGCATCTCATCCCCTCCCCATTGAATTCACCCCAATAGAACAGATGCTCCTGCCGCTGTTTCAGGTTTTAAGTGATTCTTTGGCAGCCACAGATTTCAGCCTGTCAGAAATCCTGATGAATTATTTCACTCCAGGTCCTTACAGTTTAATTCGAGCAGGCTGAAGGCAACTACTATTTCCTCGCTGTGTTTCGTCAACGTTTCTTGCATATGCTCCAATAGAGCAGATTGCAACGGCCCCTGATTTTCTAATGGAAGACTTTGCAAAGCATTCAAACCCATTAAAAAGATCGCAGCTGAGAGTAACTACTTTATTTAAATCTTGGAAGAGAAACGAAGGCTGTAAATGCCCAAAGCGCAGAGTGTATCTGTCTGGGTTCAGGCACAAACCCAAGAGCATCCAAACCTCCTGTATCAGCACAACTTGGTATAAAACCGTGAGCCAAGCACCATTTTAAGATGGAAGATAAATGGAAACCTTTTCAACCAGGTGATTCTTCCACATCCTAGTGATAATAAAGTCAAATAAAAGGATTGGCTTAATATAGGTGGGAATTTGCCATGGGTGTTGGGCTCCGTCACATTTCCATTATAGCATTAATGCTGTACAGATTTGTATAAGCACAGTAAATAAGATTAAAACCAGTCACTCACCTGCAGCCTCGTTCCACCAGCCTCAATTACAGCCCTTCCTCGAGCAATAGGAGTATCTTGGGGTGGTTACGGACGTGGTCGATGCCTGCGCGGCTCTGACACACAGGTAAGGATTAGAAAGAGTTTGTCTCAGGAAAGACTCAGATTCGGAAATCCTACACCCTGGTGTAACCCTACCTTATCTTGCTGTCCTTGGCTTTAAAGGAAACACGGGGAAGAAACGCGGTGCTGCAAGCAGGGCTGTGGTGCATCTTCACACGCAGGGATAACAACTGCCCTGAACAAACCCAAACTCTTTGGCAACCAACCCCAAGAGAGGGGTTGTACAACCCCAAGAGCTCAGCTCCTGAGCTGAACCCCCCCAAGTGATAGCTTCATTACCTGGGAGCAGATTTGTCCCCGTCATTGCTCCATGGGCAATGTCCACAGGGGGTGAGGGGTTCCATTTGACATTAAGAGTTTCCCAACCTGGTATCAACACCCTTTTTAGGAAGCAACATTCACATTTGAAGACTAAAAGGCACCAAAGAGTTCGGCAGCTCTTACCTGCCCTACTATCTTGGTCCCACCAAGGCACAATGTTGCCTCAATAGGAGCTGCATGGCTTCAGGCGTGGGTCCTGGCCTCACTGCTCTTCCTGTGCAATGCACTGGGGCCCAGTTGACTTGTGCCCCTTCCATGCCTCAGGTTGGTCCTGGGTGCCTTTCAAGTGGTCAAAAGGCACTGAGCATCCCACACTGTGGGCATACCCAAAAGGAAGCCCTGCATTCAGCTCTGAGCAGCAGCATCAGGCAATGCCAAGGAAGAGCTCACATACCCCAAGGTCTCAGAAGGGTCTTACACTTAGCAAAGTCCCACCTTGTTCCCTGAGCCATCAAGAACCAGCTGTAGGAGACTTTGCCTGCTCTGAGGGGTCCTTCCAAGCCTACAGTGTGGTGTCCTGGTCTTCTTTATCCCAGGGACACACAGGACGTGTGTTAAACCCATCTATCTTCTGCTTGGTGAGGAGGATGGGAGGAAGGTGCAGGCTGGAGGCTGCAGGGTAACTATGAGTTTGTTGACCAGGACAGATGGGTCTTCTCCACCCTTGCTTGCTGCACTGAGCATCTTGGTATCAGCTATCACACCCAGTCCTGTGGTAGTCATGGGCAGCAGGCAGTGGAAGGAAAGGTCCATGGCTTGCCCAGGTCATCAGCTTGGCCATTCTGCTTTAGGCCAACTGACAAGGAAGCCCCAAAGACTTTCCTCATCCTTCAAGCACCACTCAAAGCCCTGACTGCCCAGTATCCCTAGGAGATGGCACTGCCTCCTGGGTGTTTCCCAGAGGTTCCTGTTACACTGCAGTAATGGGGAATCGCATTAATTACGTGTTCAGCTGAATGGTGGTAACGAAGGCACGGGACATATCAAGAATCATGTTAGCATGGCAAGTAGCACAGGAACACCCAGAAAGGGTGATGCTCCACAGAAAGGCCTGAAGTTGTTACAAGGACGTCAGGAGACTTGATACAAAAGGCCAGCTTATTAATAGCTAATGGGCAAATAAATTATGTACCCACTTGTGTGGATTGTGTTTCTCCCTCCTCGCTGCACCCTGCCGTCTCCATCACCTCCTTCCTCCCTGGTTTCTGTCCCACTTGGTTCTTTCTTCTTTCTTTCCTTCCCTGCTTTGCAGGACTCGGGTGTGCTTGCTCATCACTGAGTGTTCCAAGGCTGCAGCACTGAATTCCAGCCTGTCCCCAGGGTCTTGGTTGCCCACATCCATCCAGAGAGGGACCACCGGTCACCCCAAGCCCTCTCCAGAACACCTCCTCCGTCGCACCAGGGCTGCTCGCGCTCCCAGAGATCATTTGATGCCCTGGAAATGCCAAACCTGAAAAGAAAAGCTCCAGGCAGCAAAACAAAAGCTTCTGGCTGTGGCTGGATGGGACCTGCCCTGCCTGCCATCTGCGGCCCTGCAGGAGCAGCCCCAGCTCCCATGGCGCAGGCAGCCAAGTGCCAGCGGCTCCGCGCTGGCCACGCTCCAGGCAGGCAGAGAAGGAAGGGGAAGG